TAGCCTTTGTATGTTGATGCGCCCGAAATACCCAACGGTGAATGATGGATACTATTTGAGTTTTGAGAATGTGTGTTCTTAATTCCAATTTGCAAACTCCAAGAATGTAAGCTTTATAATGAAGAAAACAAAAACATTTTAATCAATCAAATATATCTAAAGCATGCATAAAAGTAAATATAAATTACATTAATCTTCTGTAAACCAATATATGACGCAAATAAAAACCTACACTATCTTTAGGTATATATTAGTAAATGTATATAAAAACTAAATCATTATTTAAGTTAAATCATACCGATCAATGTTAACCTAAGTAATAAAATACGCTTTGTATCTTTAGATGCTTGCAAAAAATGGGGTTCATAAAAGGTTTGGAAGCATAGTGAAGTAACTTATAAATAATTCTACTTGGCAAATTAAGTGAAGGATGAGTCAGAATAAATTCAAAGTTTGAAAATTAAGTAAAAAAATAAGTCAGAATAAATTCATACCTTGGAAATTAAGCAAAGTATATGTGAGAATACATATGTAAGTTTAATTTAGTATGTAGAATGACCCACCATGTCTGCAAAGGCTTAGACAATAAGGTGAAAAAAGTATTAATTTTGTAATAATTGTAAAAAATTTCCATATAATGGAGAGAAGGAATCTAGATGCCCAAGATTGAGCCTAAGATTGAACAAGGGAAACAGTAGGAGAAAGAGAAGATGAAAATATAAAAGTAATCTCTTATAATTATAAAGAATGATATGAATGATCGTTTTAAGAAATATATATAGTTTACTTAATTTATGTTTCTATTAACAGATTAACCTTGTATATCAAGGGTCACATTTAACACCTTTTTCGCTTAAGCTCAATCGTATCATCTATGCATATAAATTAAACTCATTTTATTTCGTACTTTCAAACTTAATACACAAAAGAGGTGTGGATTTGAAGAACTTAACACAGTGATCATGTTCTATGTTTTGTGGGGGAAAATATTGTGATCTCACATCAAATAAAACAGGTAGACAATATCACATATGGGCTATTCTTTAAGGTATTGACAACTATCAAGCTCGTAACATTAGTCATCATTTCGCTCGTAACACTAGGCTCACAAATTTATGCATGTTTGTATAATTAAAAGCAAAAGAAGAAAAAATAAAACAATTAACAAAATGAAACAAAAATAAAACTACTTTTATTGAGATGAAGCTCAAACTCTTAGATTTATGCGTTAACCGAATGTCAATGGAAAAATTCAAACCACCACCACACCCAACGATTCTTATGCCTAAATCCATTGAGAACCTAATAAACTCCAACATGCCTAAAACCAATCTCCTACTTCTTCAATACAAATCCAGACAGTTTTAAATTTGAAATTGGAAAAATGGGTATAAATAAAAAACCTAATTAAGAAATTGGATAAAAGTTGTATAAACAAAAATTGTAATTAAGTTTGAAATTGAGGGAAAATGATGCAAATAAAAACCCTAATTTAAAGGGATTTCTTTTAAATATAAATAAAGGTGAGAAGGGATAATGATCACTTCCCAAACTAGGCTCAAAGATTGGTTAGATGTTTGTTGGGTTAACATCCTTTTGAAATTAGGGGCCTTGTGTCGCCTGTTGGGCTTTGTGTTATGCTTTAAATTTAGACTCACAATTATGCAGGTTTTTATTGTGTAGCCTGTTGGGCTTTTTGGGGGCACAGTTTTTGTTGGGGTATTGTGTGGGCTGTTGGGCTGAAGGTCCAACCCATTACCTTGACACAGAAATTTAAAATTAGAGACCATGGTGATGGTACAGTTGGAACATAGGATATCAATATCATTTTTTTTTTTTTTTTTTTGAGGTACATGAGGCATCCAAGCCCATATTAGAGTTGCCTTATCCTCAAGATCACGGAACATCCTACAAGTCTAATAGATTAAAATAATTATACAGATGTGATAAGTACATTTCATGCAACTCGAACACAAAACCCCCTATATATAGCTAGCATCAGTGGCTAAAGAGTTTATCATCCGACCACAAGGGGAGAGATATATCTAGACTTTTGTATTATGGATAAACCTAGAATATCAATATCTAGATTGTAATGAGTTGGATAATTATGGAAACCTTCGTCAAGAAGGTTCTTAGATTGATGATTGGAGCATTTTTTGAGTGTTTTGTTTCGTCTCAAAATACACAATTGGTCAAGTGTTTGGATGACTGCACCTTCAATATACCCAAAAAGCACTATGAAGTTTTATATGTGAGTTATGAAGTGTGAAAGGATTGTATTTTTAGTTGATTTTCAAATATTATGAACATTTGTTATCAACTGTTAGTTTACTTTAATATGAAGGATGCTTAGGTTTTATTCAATTATTCATATAATAATTCTCGATTGTGGATGTTTCTACCGGGTAAAGAATCTTTTTTATGAATTTGGTTTGTAGTTTGTCATGGTATTTTTCTACTAATTCACTATTGTAGTTTTTCAAATATAATAATAGTTTATTAGCTTTTGTAAATTGTTGATGCGCCCGAGACTTATAATCTCTCAAGGATAAGGATGAATGAAATTAATTCATTTTTTGAACTCAACTTATAGGGTTGTACAAAATTACCCGCTACCTGAACCAAAAAATTTGAATACTTGGAAATTCAATTCGAATACTGGTAGTATCATATGAGGTACCCAAATCTTCGGTTCAGGTACCGGTTCAATTTAAAAAACAAACGAGGTACCTAAACCGAACCAATTTAAATAAAAAATTAAAAAACCTTAAACACTGTTTCAACTTTCAGAAAGACAAAAATGCCAAATCAATTAAACCTAAAAATTTAAGTTCTAAACAGTAAACTAAAATCTCATCTTCTGCTTCTTAAATCTCGATTTTTCCAGTTCTCCTTCTCACAATTGTTCGTCATTCTCGCTCCAGTCGACAATCGCTCATCAGTCGTCACTCAATCTCACCCTCTTCACAAAACTATTTTAACTTATTATTAAATGTAAATGATCTTTTTTCTTTTCTTTTTTAATCTATTTTATACATACTACCAAATTGAAAAAAACCCTAAATTGGAAAAATATCTCATTTAAAAAGCCTTTCTAAAAAAAATAAAAAAATAAAATTTAAAATGTGGATTTTAGGATTCCAATTTGATGTGATTGTCTTTAGAAAATCAATACAAGTCTAGAGCCAAAAATCATTTTCCGAAAGTTGAATAAGAGAAGGACAAATGGAGGCCTTGTATACACATAACATAAAGTTTTAAAGTGGTATTAATTTTACTTTAAAAGCACTTTTAGAAAAAATTATTTATAAGAATGAAAGGCACTTAAGAAGAAGCATGCTTGTATGCAGTATGCTGTATGCATCACTTTTACTTTTTTATAAGAACGTCCCGAAACAAAACTAAATAAAATTAATTAGCATTGACATTGACATTGGCTTTATAACATTACAATGAAAATTCTGAGGTGCAACCCTAAAATAGAGACTTAAAAATTGAATCTCAATTCTCATTAATTAGAGTTCGTATGAAATATGTTTTGTCTTTTCACATAAAATCTTGACGGTTAAAGTTAACTTATGCATTGTTTATGTATTTCAGATCCAGACATATGATAGGTGAGTTCTCAGAGATATTGTCTTGAAAAGGCGTCTCTGGATAGTGAGGGTGTCCTTGTGCTATATAAGTAACCAAGACCCTCGTCTTCCAATCGATGTGGGACTTTGACACCAACATGCATAAATGAATCAGTTCTATGTTTTAAAATAATCAAGATGCTATGGTTTAGTAAGTAAATCTTAATTGTCCGCAAAAGTTAACTTATACATGCATGAATTAAACCTGACCGATGAGAATTGAGGTTAGACCTTAAAAAATCAGGACATTCGTAGAAAAGAATACCTATTAGAACCAATATATATATTTCCAACTATAAATTGCAGAAATGGGACAAGACATGTATAAAAGGGCTTTTACAAGTACTGTATATTTATATATGCTTCTTGCATGTGCTCACTAATAAACTAAAAAATTCCAAGTTCTTCTCCCATAGAAGTATATGAAAAGGGCATTAAATATCTCTTAATACCTCCAATATTTGAGATTTGTTCACATAATATATCAAGATTTGTGATTTGTTCTTAAAGTGAACCTCAACTTATTAAAGAATCAAAGCAATTCTGAATCAGGTTCTCTGAAATGAATGTTTCAATATTGCTTGATTAAATTTCATAGTTAAATAAATTTAATTAATATCCAATTATCTAGCAATAACTAATAAGTGGTCCATGTAGATAAATTGTATGATTCTATTATCACTAGAATCTCTTCGAAAGCATCTTACTCATCAAGCACTAGCCCCAAAGATTTATAATTGAATTATGAATTGAAATGACTGAAAATTCTCAAATGTAGATGTTTGTAATTATTAAAAATTCGAATTCATGTTTCTTTGTTAATTATTCTTTAACATTATCAAAAGTAATATTAAACAAGAATATTCTAGATATTCTAAAAATATAAACATCTACGTAATAGAACGGCGATAATTAAAATAATTATTGCCATATCATAAACATTAAAGCTAAAATGTAAGACTAGCAATAGTAGTCATATTCATGGTAGCGCCGCTCTCTCTCTTCTCTCTAAAATCCACGTTTTTTTTATTTTAGATTAATATTAAAAAACAAATTTTAGTCAAATTTATAGATCTAAAAGACTATAGGTACAAACTTTTTTCTTTATTGTTTGGCATTTCCCAATAATAATAAATGATAACATTCTACATTTTAAAGAAATAGAGACATCTACGTAAAAGAACAACTATGGGTCTAATAATTATTGCAAAGTCATAAACATTAAAGCAAAAATGTAAAGCTAGCAATAGCTATCATATTCAGGTGGTGTGATTTTCCTCTCCCTCTCCCTCTCCATCTCCAAATTGTTTAAAACAGAGAGAATCCCGAAATCAAAACAAAAAACCTGGGAGATTGAGAGAAATGTTGAAGGAGTTAAAGCCTTATATACTAAGCATATTTTGCAGCTTCTGCTATGCAGGTTACAATATTGTCTCCAAGGTCTCTCTGGATGATGGCATGAGCTTCTATGTTTTGGTTGTTTACGCTCATGGCTTTGGAACTTTGGCCACTGCTCTTCTTGCTCTTCTCTTTGAGAGGTAATTACTTCATTAATTAATCTTCTAATTGTTGTTATGTTTAATGTGATTCAGGATCTCTCTCTTGTATGCAGGAATAACGAAAGCAAACTAAGCATCCAAATCTGGAGAAACATCTTCTTTCTTGGCCTTTTAGGGTGAGTAATTTAATTATATGATTTTTTTTATCGTATAAATCTTTTAATTATGAAGATAAGAAACACTCGAATATTCATAGATCCATATTCCAAGAATAAAAACAAAGAAGAAAGGTTTTATTTGGTATGCTGGAAGTGTTCGTCTTGGGGAAAATGATATTGTGTTATTAAAAAAATAATAAGTTACATGATCACCTATCATATAAATCTATTAATTATGAAAGAAATATATAAGAAATACTTGTCTATTCATAGATAGCTCAATATTTTTTTCGAGAAAAAGAAAGAAGAAAGCTTTTATAAGTACAACTACACTGGTAAGTATCCTTATAAACTACTTCTAGGAATTGAGTGGTTTGATAGAAACTTTTAGGTGTATTACTCGAGAGGTCTTGAATTCAAATCCCTTTTTAGTGCTAATAGTGGTAATCATTAGAGTTCTCACCTGTTTACTAGTTTCAGGGTCTTGAAGATTGGTTGAAGTACGTGTAAACTGATCTAGACACCTCGATATATATATATATATATATATCCCTATGAACAATTACCTTGTGGAAGATGATATTATGACACAAGGGGCGGAGCTAGGTTTAGTTCTAGGATAACTATGGCCATCCCGGCCATCACATAAATCTTTAAAATTTATATAGAAAAATATTTTTTAAGCCTTACAGATGTAATTTTTATCATTCTGACCACCTCTAGTTTTTGAAAGCAACACTTTAGCCCCAATAAAAATAACTTTCTGAGTACTGTTTGGCCCCCTTATTTATTCAAGATAACATTTTGGTCCCTAGATGTTAGACCTGGCAAAATGGATCCAGACCCACGGGTCGACCCAAAACCTGAGAAAAGAATATAGGGCGCGGGTCTTTAAACTTCGACTCATTTTGTATCGAACCATACCTAGACCGACCCGTTTTGCCAACAAGTCACACGGGTCCACTTGTAGGTGCCCACAAGTACCTCTTTTTTACCCAAAAAATTAAAAAACCCTTTTCCCTTTCATTTTGCCCCAAATCATGAAACTAAATGAATCCCTAACCTTCTCTCAAACTTAGTCTCTCATCTCATTAGCCTTCTCTCAAACGTTGTCTCTTATTAGCCTTCTCTCAAAGACTCATTGTCATCGTCATCAATTGTCTCTAATTGCCGACGCCACTTCTCCTGTCTCCACTATTATCTACTTTCCTGTCTCTAATTCTCCTATCTCCACAGCTAGATTTTTCTTTCACACAAGTGATTTTCACTTCTTGTATTAATAAGAGAGCTGAAAAATTTGCAATTATGGCGAAATTGGGAGGAGGAAGTTTGAGTTTATGGAGAAACATAGACAATTAATGCAGTAAAATAGGCTTTGGGAATCTGGAATTGACTTTGGGTTGAGTAGGATATTTGGAGAAGGAAGTTTGAGTAACTGAGTTTATGGAGAAACGTAGACAATAAATACAGTAAAATAGACTTGGGAATCTGTGATTGACTTTGGGTTGAGTAGGAAATTATTTATGAATTTTTAAAAGACGTTTTTGTTTTAATTGAGGATATTATTTGGAGTAGTTTTATGTGGGTGTAATTATAAAAAATGAAAACCACATTAATTTTGGGGGTGTAATTATAAAAATTGAAAACTGAAGAGAGAAAAAAAAGAGACCCATGGGTCCACCACTACCCGCATAGGGTAGGGTCTAGGTCTAATATTTTGGACCCATATAATTCAACCCATTTTAGGCTCGAATCCGTTAGGACCCAACCCGACCCACCAGCTGGTTTTGCCGGGTCTAGTAAAAGTAGAGATATTACTTTGATTAGAGAATTCTTGATCAACTTTTGGGTGGAAAATTAATTTATATATATTTATTATGGCAGAGCTCTGCTGGGAAGAACACTGTTTTTTGCAGGATTAAAATACACTTCACCAACATTTGCTTCAGCCATGGCCAATGCAATTCCAGCCATCACCTTTATCTTGGCAGTTTTATGCAGGTAAACTAATGAAAATTAAAAGTAAAAAATTATCAAAAAAATAATTAATTAAGAGAATTTCACTTTTTTTTTTTTTTTGGTTGCAAAAAAAACAAAAAAAAAAAAAATCAGAATGGAGAAACTAAAGATTTCAGAAGCAAGTGCTCAAGCAAAAATTGTGGGCACTGTTGTTGCCTTAGCTGGTGCAACACTTATGACTCTATACAAGGGTATTGTGGTAATTTCCTTACCGTCGTCCTCTGGACACCATAAGAAGAATCAGAGTGTTGGTATCAACTTAACATTTTTCTCAGATGCAGATTGGATAAAAGGCTCTGTCATGCTCTTCATTTCATACCTTGCATTAGCTGCATTCTTCATCTTACAGGTAATATTATCGTTAAATTTAATAGAAAAGTGAAAAGACATAAATGCCCTTAAACCAATAACGAAGGAAAATAATTTTTTTCTTTTTTTTTTGAAAAAAAAATATAGGGTATATCTGGTTGATAGTATTGGACTGCACTAAAAGGGTAGAGCGTATTATTTTGAAAATATAAAACATTTGGTTTCATTTGAGGGAGGATGAACTGTATTAAAATTTGAAGGCTTGCTGTGGACAGCACAAGAAAAAGTTAAAAACATTTGTATTACATTAAAACTAATTAATAAATATTAAAATAAATAAAAAAATTGGTTGATCGGTGTAACGGCGATAATGACCGTCATTGTCGGTGATGCATCCGTAGACATTGTTGGATAAATAATCCAACAATCTACCCCAAAATGGTAACAGAAAGGTTGCAGGAAGCGACGTTTCACCGGAAAAAGCAAGCAAAGATTCACTGAATGACTACCATTCTTTAACTTGCTTAAAACTATTGCAGGCGTGGACAATCAAGAAGTATCCAGCACCAATAACTCTCACATTCTTAACTTGCTTAGCAGGAACTTTACTTGCGGCAATAATGACTGCTATTCTTGATCATAAACCTTCTTCCTGGAAATTGTCCTGGAACATCAGCCTTCTTGCTCCTGTTTACAGTGTAAGTTTATTTTTCAACTTCGATACCAACGCTAGCTATAACGTGACTCTGTCGATTATAACCAATCAATAACATTATCGAATCAATAACTTGATAGTTCATGACATTTGATTAATTAATTTTTGCAGGGAATTGTTATATTTGGAATCACAGTATATTTACAAACTTGGTTATAAGGGAAAAAGGTACAATTTTCATGACAGCATTTAGATCATTGGCAACAGTAATTGTAGCTGTTATGGGACTCCTCATTTTAGGAGAAGAACTCTACTTGGGAAGGTATGCATTTTTATTTTACTGCTATAATATATAATGCTCGGATACTCTCCAGATTCGAACTTTCATAAATTTTACAATATATGTATATTATGACATCAGTAAATGTTGTGAAACCCAACTCGAACAATGACTCGGTTAGACGACCGAGTCCTAGGTTGAATAGTTTAACTAGTTCGACCGATGGGTTAGATCGGTAACATCATCATGCTATTAATCATTTTGCTTGTATAATTTTCTCCCTATTTTCAAATTTCTCTTGCAGCCTAACAACTCTATCAAAATTCACATCTATTACTTCAATCATTTGAACATTTTGCAAATATTCCAATGCTTGTTTTGAAACTGCATTCAGAGCCTCCTTCTTGCTCCTTCTCCATGACCCTTGGAAATGGCTCCGAACTTTATTTCTATGATCAAATATTTCAACAGAACCTCGATATTGTTTTGCATGGTCAGGTCCTTTGCTTTCAATCGAAAACGTTGGACGAGCAATATTAAGCTGCTACAATGAATCTCTTAAAATCTGTTTGAATGGAATTTCTACTCTTATTTTCTCCATATTGCTGCAAATAACAATAATATTTTGATACTAATACTCTTATATTTATATTCATTTTCATAATTATTGCCAAACTCATCAACTTCTAAACGTTTGATTATCATGGATCAATTATTAATCTAATCAATATGTATACATTAAATATATTTATCTTTTAGAATTTAAGGGAAACTCTTAGTTTTCTTCAAGAAAATTAATGTCGATTATTTCTAGAAGATAATATATTGAATTAACCAAAGGTGTTAGGTTTTTTCAAGATTTAAACATTAATTTTTGAAATTAATTAACTATTTTTTTCTTCTGATTTTTCAGTATTGTGGGATCAGTATTGATCGTTCTTGGTTTGTATGCAATTCTATGGCAAAAGATTATGAGAAAAAGAAGAAAGTCTTGGAGCTCATGGTCTGTGATCAGCATACATGAATTGAGATCAACTCATAAAAATGATATATATATGACACAACGCACTAATGGTTCCAATCATTGTGTTATATTTAATTGATATATATCGTCAATTTAATGTGTAAATTTGATCGATAAAAGTTTTAATGTGTAGACTTAAATGGGCAACGATTAGTCTGACTTCACAAAATATAAACTTGAGGTCATTGATCTTTAATCTGCATCTTGAAAAATTCAAGACATTGAGTCTAACTTCACAAAATATAAATATCAATGTCAATAGTAATCTAACTAGTCTAGATAATTAGATGCTGTAATAAAGAATCTTAAATATATTATCCAAGAGGTCTTGAATTTAATTAATATAAAAAAAGATAGACGAGAGATTTAAACTGGCCGGAGACTTTAAAAATTATTGTTTTAAGTATATTTATTTTTAAATTTTGAAGAAGAATATTGGAAAGCGACAATTCACATAGGATCCTTAAATTCTTAAAATCCGATTATGATAATAATAATTAGTATTAAAATGATCGAACAGAACAGACCAAACAAAACCCATGTTGTTCCAATGAACTAAAATCTCTCTCTCTTCGATTCTAAGTGCAATCCAAAGTGATGGAGATGGAACAACTACTAAGCATGGGCTTCCCAAACGAGTTAGCCGCCGAAGCCCTCGCCGCCACCGGCGGAAAATCCACTCTCAAAGCCACCGAATGGATTCTCTCCCGCCGTCCCTCCGCCGACCCACCGCCGAACAACCCATCTCCCACCCAACCAAAACTCGATCGTTTCTTCGCCAAACCCATCATACCCGCCATTGCTACTGCCATTGCCACTGCCTCCGCCAACCAATTGGTCGAATCTGCTCCCCCATTAAAAAAACTTAAACCTGTTTCAACTTTCAGAAGACAAAAATGCCAAATCCATTAAACCTAAAAATTTAAGTTCTAAACAGTAAACTAAAATCCATCTTCTGCTTCTTAAATCTCGATTTTCCAGTTCTCCTTCTCACAGTTGTTCGTCATTCTTGCTCCAGTCGACAATCGCTCGTCAGTCGTCACTCAATCTACCCTCTTCACAAAACTATTTTAACTTATTATTAAATGTAAATGTTATATCCAGCCTAAATCAATCTACTCATCCACAACAATCTAAACACACAATCAATCAAGACAATAAACCAAAACACAAGAATTTTACCGTGGTTCAACTATCCTTTAAAGAATAGTCTACATCCACGTTGAGACAAATTGAGGGGCTCCCTTCACTAGATTTAACCTTTGTTCAGTTTATACAAAACAGAATCAACTCCTCTTAATAGATCTCACAACCTCTCTTGATACACTACTGCAAACTATCACAAGAAATACTCAACCTGCACTTCTTTACAGAGATTAAACTAAAACCCCCAATATGTGATCATTTGATCACAAACTCAGCATACAGCAATCAGAAGAATGGTTTCGCAAGAACTCACCACAGAGAAGAAAAACGCAAAAGAGATTTGCTCAGATCTGATTCGTGAGGAGAAATGCTTTTGTATATAGTTGGACAGGTGCACTTACAGCCCTTGATCATCCTCTAATTAAAGGTCACTAAAGGTGCAAGCCAAACGCAGCGTTTCGGCTTCACCTTTAACAGTAAATGATCTTTTTCTTTTTTTTTTTTATCCATTTTATACATACTACCAAATTGAAATGAAATTAAATACATTTACGTTAAAAAAACAAAAACAAAAAACCCCTAAACTGGAAAAATATCTCGTTTAAAAAGCCTTTCTAAAAAAAATAAAAATTAAAGTGGTGGATTTTAGGATTCCAATTTGATGTGATTGTCTTTAGAAAATCAACAAATCTTGAGCCAAAAATCATTCTGAAAGTTGATAAGAGAAGGACAAATGGAGGCCTTGTATACACATAACATAAAGTTTTAAAGTGGTATTAATTACTTTAAAAGCACTTTAAAAAAAAATTATTTATAAGAATGAAAGGCACTTAAGAAGAAGCATGCTTGTATGCAGTATGCATCACTTTTATTTTTTATAAGAACGTCCCGAAACAAAACTAAATAAAATAATTAGCATTGACATTGGCTTTATAACATTACAATGAAAATTCTGAGGGTGAACCCTAAAATAGGGACTTAAAAATTGAATCTCAATTCTCATTAATTAGAGTTTGTATGAAAATGTTTTGTCTTCACATAAAATCTTGACTTTTAGAGTTAACTTATGCATTGTTGATGTATATCGATCAAAACTATGATATGTGAGTTCCAGAGATATTGTCCGCTTGAGTTTAAGACCTTACAACTTGTCTTGAAAAGGCGTCTTGTGAGTGGTCAGAGTGTCCTTATGCTATATAAGCGATCAAAGCTCTCATCTCCTAACCGATGTAGGAATTTGATACCAACATGCATAAATAATATTCTTACTAGTGAGAATCAGGTCTAGTTTTAAAATAATCAAGATGTTATGGTTTAGTAAGTAAATCTTAATTGTCACAAAAGTTAACTTATACAGTGCATGAATTAAATCTGACGATGAGAATTGAGGTTAGACTTTAAAAAATCAGGACATTCGTAGAAAATGAATACCTATTAGAACCAATATATATATTTCCAACTATAATGCAGAAATGGGACAGAACATATATAAAAGGGTTTACAAGTATATTTATATATGCTTGTTGCAGGTGCTCTCACCTAAAAATTCCGAGTTCTTCTCCCAAAAAGTATATGAAAAGGGCATTAAATATCTCTTAATGCTCCAATATTGAGATTGTTCACAGAATATATTAAGATTTGTGATTTGTTCTTAAATGAACCTCAACTATTAGGAATCAAAGCAATTCTAATCAGGTTCTCTGAAATGAAATTTCAATATTGCTGATTAAATCTGATAAATTAAATAAATTAATTAATTCCAATTATCTGTAATAAGGGGTCCATATGGATAAATTTTATGATTCTCTTATCACTAGAATCTCTTCGAAAGCATCTTACTCATCAAGCACTAGCCCCAAGAGTCATAATTGAATTATGAATTGAAATGACGAAACTTCTCAAATGTAGATGTTTGTAAATATTAAAAATTCAAATTCAAATTCATGTTTCTTTTTAATTATTCTTATATTATCAAACAGTAACATTAAACAAGAATATTCTAGATATTCAAAAAATACTGACATCTACGAACCGTAAATAATTATTGCATATCATAAACATTAAAGCTAAAATGTAAGACTAGCAATAGTAGTCATATTTATGGTAGCGCCTCTCTCCTCTCTCTTTTCTCTAAAATCCACGTTTAATTATTTTATTTTAGATTATATTAAATAAAATAATCAAATTTATCGATCTAAAAGACTATAAGTACAAACTTTTTTCTTTTTTTCTTGGCATTTCCAATAATAATAAATGGAATATTTACATTTTAAATAATACGACATTTACGTAAAAGAACAACTATAGGTCAATAATTATTGCAAATCAATACATTAAAGCAAAAATGTAAAGCTAGCAATAGCTATCATATTCTGGTGGTGTGATTTTCCTCTCCCTCTCCTTCCATCTCCAAATAGTTTAAAACAGAGAGAATCCCGAAATCAAAACAAAAAACTGAGAGATTGAGAGAAATGTTGAAGGAGTTAAAGCCCTAATAATCAATATTTTGCAGCTTCTGCTATGCAGGTTACAATATGTCTCCAAGGTCTCTCTAGATGTGGCAGGCTTCTATGCTTTGGTTGTTTATGCTCATGGCTTTGGAACTTTGGCCACTGCTCTTCTTGCTCTTCTCTTTGAAGGTAATTACTTCATTAATTAATCTTCATTGTTGTTAGTTTAATGTGATTCATGATCTTTATTCAGATCTCTTTTTGTATACGGAATAACGAAAGCAAATTAAGATCCAAGTCTGGAGAAACATCTTCTTTTTGGCCTTTTAGGGTGAGTAATTTAATTATGATTTTTTTTTAGTATAAATCTTTTAGTTATGAAATAAGAAACACTCGAATATTCATAGATTCATATTCCAAGAATAAAACAAAGAAGAAAGGTTTTATTTGGTATGCTGGAAGTGTCGTCTTGGGGAAAATGATATTGTGGTATTAAAAAAATAATAAGTTACATGATACCTATCATAAAATCTATTAATTATGAAGAAATATATAAGAAATACTTGTCTATTCATAGATAGCTCAATATTTTTTTCGAGAAAAAGAAAGAAGAAAGCTTTTATAAGTACAACTACATTGGTAAGTATCCTTATAAACTCTTCTAGGAATTGAGTGGTTTGTAAAAACTTTAGGTGGTACTCGAGAGGTCTTGAATTCAAATCCCTTTTTAGTGCTAATAGTGGTAACCATTAGAGTTTCACCGTTTACTAGTTTCAGGGTCTTGAAGATGTGAAGTACGGTAAACTGATCTAGACCCCTCATATATATAATATATATATATAATATATATATCCTATGAACAATTACTTGTGGAAGATGATATTATGACACAAGGGGCAGAGCTAGGTTTAGTTATGGATAACTAATGGCCATCCCGGCCATCACATAAATCTTTAAAATATATAGAAAAATATTTTTTAAGCCTTACAGATGTAATTTTTATCATTCTGACACATCTAGTTTGAAAGCAACACTTTAGCCCAATAAAAATAACTTTCTGAGTACTGTTGGCCCCTATTTATTCAAGATAACATTTGGTCCTAGAGTTAGACCTGGCAAAAGGATCCAGACCCACGGGTCGACCCAAACCTGAGAAAAGAATATAGGGCGGGTCTTTAAACTCGACCCATTTTGTATCGAACCATACCTAGAACGACCCGTTTTGCCACAAGTCACAGGTCCACTTGTAGGTGCCCACAAGTACCTCTTTTTACCCAAAAAATTAAAAAACCTTTTCCCTTTCATTTTGCCCCAAATCATGAAACTAAATGAATCCCTAACCTTCTCTCAAACTTAGTCCTCATCTCATAGCCTTCTCTCAAACGTTGTCTCTTATTAGCCTTCTCTCAAAGACTCCTGTCATCGTCATCAATTGTCTCTAATTGCCGACGCCACTCTCCTGTCTCCACTATATCTCTTGTCTCTAATTCTCCTATCTCCACAGCTAGATTTTTTCACACAAGTGTTTTCACTCTTGTATTAATGAGAGAGCTGAAAAATTTCAAATATGGCGAAATTGGGAGGAGGAAGTTTGAGTTTATGGAGAAACTAGACAATTAATGCAGTAAAATAGGCTTGGGAATCTGGAATTGACTTGGGTTGAGTAGGATATTTGGAGAAGGAAGTTTGAGTAATGAGTTTATGGAGAAACGTAGCAATAAAATACAGTAAATAGACTTGGAATCTGTGATGACTTTGGGTTGAGTAGGAAATTATTTATGAATTTTTAAAAACGTTTTTTTAATTGAGGATATTATTGGAGTGTTTATGTGGGTGTAATTATAAAAAATGAAAACCACATATTTTGGGGGTGTAATTATAAAAATTGAAAACTGAGAGAGAGAAAAAAAAGAGACCCATGGGTCCACCCTCTACCGCATGGGTAGGGTCTAGGTCTAATATTGGACCCATATAATTCAACCCTTTAGGCTCGATGTTAGGACCCAACCCGACCACAGCGGTTTTGCCGGGTCTAGTAAAAGTAGAGATATTACTTGATTAGAGAATTCTGATCAACTTTTGGGTGGAAAATTAATTTATATATATTTATTATGAGAGCTTGCTGGGAAGAACACTGTTTTTTGCAGGATTAAAATACACTTCACCAACATTTGCTTCAGCCATGGCCAATGCAATTCCAGCCATCCTTTATCTTGGCAGTTTGATGCAGGTAAACTAATGAAAATTAAAAGTAAAAAAATTATCAAAAAAATAATTAATTAAGAGAATTTCACTTTTTTTTTTTTTTTTGGTTACAAAAAAAAACAAAAAAAAAAAAAATCAGAATGGAGAAACTAAAGATTTCAGAAGCAAGTGCTCAAGCAAAAATTGTGGCACTGTTGTTGCCTTAGCTGGTGCAACACTTATGCTCTATACAAGGGTATTGTGGTAATTTCCTTACCGTCGTCCTCTGGACACCCTAAGAAGAATCAGAGTGTTGGTATCAACTAACATTTTCTCAGATGGAGATTGGATAAAAGGCTCTGTCTGCTCTTCATTCATACCTGCATTAGCTGCATTCTTCATCTTACAGGTAATATTATCGTTAATTTAATAGAAAAGTGAAAAGACATAAATGCCCTTAAACAAGAACGAAGGAAAAAATATTTTTCTTTTTTTTTTGAAAAAAAAAAATATAGGGTATATCTGGTTGATAGTATTGGACTGCACTAAAAGGGTAGAGCGTATATTTTGAAAAATAAACATTTGGTCATTGAGGGAGGATGAACTGTATAAAATTTAAGGCTTGCTGTGGACAGCACAAGAAAAAGTTTAAAAACATTTGTATTACATTAAAACGAAGTAATGTAATAGAAATATGATTAAAAATAGATAATGTAAGTTGAGAGATGATAAAATAATCATACCCAACGGTGAATGATGGAATATGGATACTATTTGAGTTTTGAGAATGTGTGGTCGCAATTGCAATTTGCAAACTCCAAGAATGTAAGCTTTATAATGAAGAAAACAAAAACATTTTAATCAATCAAATATATATAAAGCATAAATAAAAGTAAATATAAATTACATTAATCTTCTGTAAACCAATATATGAAGCAAATAAAAACGTACACTATATTTAGGTATATATTAGTAAATGTATGTAAAAACTAAATCATTATTTAAGTTAAATCATCGATGTTAACTTAGTAATGAAATACGTTTTGTATCTTTAAATGCTTACAAAAAAAGGGGGTTCGTAAAGGTTTGGAAGCATACTTAAGTAACCTATAAATAATTCTACCTTGAAAATTAAGTGAAGAATGAGTCAGAATAAATTCAAAGGTTGAAAATTAAGTAATGAATAAGTCAGAATAAATTCAAACCTTGGAAATTAAGTGAAGTATATGTGAGAATACATATGTAAATTTAATTTAGTATGTAGAATGACCCACCATGTCTGCAAAGGCTTAGACAATAAGGTGAAAAAAGTATTAATTTTGTACTAATTGTAAAAGATTTCCATAAAACGGGAGGGAAGGAATCTAGATGCCCAAGATTGAGGCATAAGAGTGAACAAGGGAAAAAGTATGAGAAAGAGGAGATGAAAATATAAAGGAGATCCCTTATAATTACAAAGAACAATATGACTGATAGTTTCAAGAAATATATATAGTTTACTTAATTTCTATGTCTATTAACAAATTAATCTTGTACCTTTTTTGCTTAAGCTCAATCGTATCATCTATACATATAAATTAGACTCATCTTATTTCGTACTTTAAAACTTAATGCACAAAAGAGGTGTGGATTTCAAGAACTTAACACATTGATCATGTTCTATGTTTTGTGGGGAAAAATATTGTGATCTGACATCAAATAAAATGGGTAGACTATATCACATATGGGCTATTCGTTAAGGTACTGACAATTATCAACCTCGTAACATTATTAATGATTTTGCTCGTAACACTAGGCTCACAAATTATGCATGTGTGTATAATTAAAAGCAAAAGAAGAAGAAGAAGAAGAAGAAGAAGAAGAAAACAATTAACAAAGTGAAACAAAAATAAAACTATTTTTATTGAGACGAAGCTCAAACTCTAAGATTTATGCGTTAACCGAATGTCAATGGAAAAATTCAAATAGCCATCATACCCAACGATTCTTATGCATAAATCCATTGAGAACCTAATAAACTCCAGCGTACCTAAAACCAATCTCCTACTTCTTCAATATAAATCCAGACAATTTTAAATTTGAAATTGGAAAAATGGGTATAAATAAAAAACCTAATTAAGAAATTGGATAAAAGTAGTAAAAACAAAAACTGTAATTAAGTTTGAAATTGAGGGACAATGATACAAATAAAAACCCTAGTGAAACCTAATTAAGTTCAGGTTATTTTTAGGGATTTCTTTTAAATATAATAAAGGTGAGGATGGATAATGATCACTTCCCAAACTAGGCTCAAAGATTGGTTAGGTGTTTGTTGGGTTAACAACCTTTTGAAATTAGGGGCCTTGTGTGGCCTGTTGGGCTTTGTGTTGTGCTTTAAATTTAGACTCACAATTATGCAGGTTTTTATTGTGTAGCCTGTTGGGCTTTTTGGGGGCACAGTTTTTGTTGGGGTATTGTGTGGGCTGTTGGGCTGAAAGTCCAACCCATTACCTTGACACAGAAATTTAAAATTAGAGAGCATGGTGACGGTACAGTTGGAACGTAGGATATCAGTATCTTTTTTTTTTTTTTTTTGAGGTGCATGAGGTATCCAAGCCAATATTAGAGTTTGTCTAATTCTCAGGGTCATATAACATCCTACAAGCTCAATGAACCAAAGTAATTATATACCTGCGACTCGAACACAAAATCTCCTATATATAACTACCATCAGTAGCTAAAGAGTTTGTCATCCAACTACAAAAGGAGAGGTATATCTAGACTTTTGTATTATGGATAAACCTAGAATATCAATATCTAGACCGTAATGAGTGGGATAATTATGGAAACCTTCGTCGAGAAGGTTTTTAGATTGATGATTGGAGCATTTTTTGAGTGTTTTGTTTCGTCTCAAAATAGCCAGTTGGTCAGGTGTTTAGATGACTGCACCTTCAATATACCCAAGAAGCATGAAGTTTTATATGTGAGTGATGAAGTGTGAAAGGATTGTATTTTGAACTCAACTTATAGGGTTGTACAAAATTACCTGCTACCTGAACCAAAAGATTTGAATACTTGGAAATTCAATTCGGATTCTGGTAGTATCATAGGAGGTACCCAAATCTTCGGTTCAGGTATCGGTTCAATTTAAAAAACAAACGAGGTACCTAAACCGAACCAATTTAAATAAAAAATTAAAAAACCTTAAACACTGTTTCAACTTTCAGAAAGACAAAAATGCCAAATCCATTAAACCTAAAAATTTAAGTTCTAAACAGTAAACTAAAATCTCATCTTCTGCTTCTTAAATCTCGATTTTTCCAGTTCTCCTTCTCACAGTTGTTCGTCATTCTTGCTCCAGTCGACAATCGCTCGTCAGTCGTCACTCAATCTCACCCTCTTCACAAAACTATTTTAACTTATTATTAAATGTAAATGTTATAATCCCAGCCTAAATCAATCTACTCATCCACAACAATCTAAACACACAATCAATCAAGACAATAAACCAAAACACAAGAATTTTACCGTGGTTCAACTATCCTTTAAAGAATAGTCTACATCCACGTTGAGCTCCACAAATTGAGGGGCTCCCTTCACTAGATTTAACCTTTGTTCAGTTTATACAAACAAGAATCAACTCCTCTTAATAGATCTCACAACACTCTCTTGATACACTACTGCAAACTATCACAAAGAAATACTCAACCTGGCACTTCTTTACAGAGATTAAACTAAAACCCCCAATATGTGATCATTTGATCACAACTCAGCATACAGCAATCAAGAAGAATGGTTTCGCAAGAACTCAGCCCTTACAGAGAAGAAAAACGCAAAAGAGATTTGCTTCAGATCTGATTCGTGAGGGATAAATGCTTTTTGTATATAGTTGGACAGGTGGCACACTTACAGCCCTTGGATCATCCTCTAATTAAAGGTCACTAAAGGTGCAAGCCAAAACGCAGCGTTTCTGGCTTCACCTTTAACAGTAAATGATCTTTTTTCTTTCTTTTTTTTTATCCATTTTATACATACTACCAAATTGAAATGAAAATTAAAATACATTTACGTTAAAAAAAACAAAAACAAAAAACCCCTAAACTGGAAAAATATCTCGTTTAAAAAGCCTTTCTAAAAAAAATAAAATTTAAAGTGGTGGATTTTAGGATTCCAATTTGATGTGATTGTCTTTAGAAAATCAATACAAATCTTGAGCCAAAAATCATCTTCTGAAAGTTGAATAAGAGAAGGACAAATGGAGGCCTTGTATACACATAACATAAAGTTTTAAAGTGGTATTAATTTTACTTTAAAAGCACTTTTAAAAAAAAATTATTTATAAGAATGAAAGGCACTTAAGAAGAAGCATGCTTGTATGCAGTATGCATCACTTTTACTTTTTTATAAGAACGTCCCGAAACAAAACTAAATAAAATTAATTAGCATTGACATTGGCTTTATAACATTACAATGAAAATTCTGAGGTGCAACCCTAAAATAGGGACTTAAAAATTGAATCTCAATTCTCATTAATTAGAGTTAGTATGAAATATGTTTTGTCTTTTCACATAAAATCTTGACTTTTAGAGTTAACTTATGCATTGTTGATGTATATCGGATCAAAACATATGATATGTGAGTTCTCAGAGATATTGTCCGCTTTGAGTCTTAAGACCTTAACAACTTTGTCTTGAAAAGGCGTCTTTGAGTGGTCAGAGTGTCCTTATGCTATATAAGCGATCCAAAGCTCTCATCTCCTAACCGATGTAGGAATTTGATACCAACATGCATAAATAAATAATTCTTACTAGTGAGAATCAGGTCTAGGTTTTAAAATAATCAAGATGTTATGGTTTAGTAAGTAAATCTTAATTGTCCAAAAAAGTTAACTTATACATGCATGAATTAAATCTGACCGATGAGAATTGAGGTTAGACTTTAAAAAATCAGGACATTCGTAGAAATGAATACCTATTAGAACCAATATATATATATTTCCAACTATATATTGCAGAAATGGGACAGAACATATACAAAAGGGCTTTTACAAGTATATTTATATATGCTTGTTGCAGGTGCTCACTAATAACCTAAAAATTCCGAGTTCTTCTCCCATAAAAGTATATGAAAAGGGCATTAAATATCTCTTAATGCCTCCAATATTTGAGATTTGTTCACAGAATATANAAAAAAATAAAAAAATAAAATTTAAAATGGTGGATTTTAGGATTCCAATTTGATGTGATTGTCTTTAGAAAATCAATACAAATCTTGAGCCAAAAATCGTCTTCTGAAAGTTGAGTAAGACAAGGACAAATAGAGGCCTTGTATACACATAACATAAACTTTTAAAGTGGTTTAATTTTACTTTAAAGGCACTTTTAGAAAAAATTATTTATAAGAATGAAAGGCACTTAAGAAGCATGCTTGTATGCAGTAAACATCACTTTTACTTTTTTATAAGAACGTCCCAAAACAAAACTAAATAAAATTAATTAGCATTGACATTGGCTTTATAACATTACAATGAAAATTCTGAGGTCCAGCCCTAAAATAGAGACGTAAAAATTGAATCTCAGTTCTCAGTAATTAGAGTTCGTATGAAAGATGTTTTGTCTTTTCACAGAAAATCTTGACTTTTAGAGTTAATTTATGCGTTGTTGATATATATCGGATCCAAACATATGATAGGTGGGTTTTCAGAGATATTGTCCTGAAAAGGTGTCTCTGGATGGTGAGAGTATCCTTGTGTTATATAAGTGATCAAGACCCTCATCTTCCAATCGATGTGAGACTTTGACACCAACATGCATAAATGAATTACCTCTTGTTTTAAAATAATCAAGATGTTGTGGTTTAGTAAGTAAATCTTAATTGTCCGCAAAAGTTAACTTATACATGCATGAATTAATTCTGACCGATGAGAATTGAGGTCGGACTTTAAAAAATCAGACATTCATAGAAAAGAATACCTGTTAGAACCAATATATATATTTTCAACTATAAATTGCAGAGGGCTTTTACAAGTATATTTATATATGTTTGTTGCATGTGCTCACTAATAAACTAAAAATTCCAAGTTCTTCTCCCATAAAAGTATATGAAAAGGGCATCAAATATCTCTTAATGCCTCCAATATTTGAGATTTGTTCACATAATATATTAAGATTTGTGATTTGTTCTTAAAGTGAACCTCAACTTATTAGAGAATCAAAGCAATTCTAAATCAGGTTCTCTGAAATGAATATTTCAATATTGCTTGATTAAATTTGATAATTAGATAAATTTAATTAATATCCAATTATCTAGTAATAAGTGGTCCATATGGATAAATTTTATGATTCTCTTATCACTAGAATCTCTTCGAAAGCATCTTACTCATCAAGCACTAGCCCCAAAGATTCATAATTGAATTATGAATTGAAATGACCGAAACTTCTCAAATGTAGATGTTTGTAAATATTAAAAATTCAAATTCAANTTGTTGTCTCGTTGTCGAGTTCTTACGCTTAACGCGTTGAAACCGTGCCACGTTGAGACACTTTTGAGGCGAGCAGTGGAGGATATCGATAGGGCTGCAGAAAGAGTGTCTGTTAAGCAACTTAAGTCTATGGAGGAAGAGATGAATTTGGTGTCGAGTGAAGAAAATCGTTCTGTCGTGGCGATTGTCACCTTGGATGATGCAAAGGAGGCATTTCAATGTAAGCATCTTGCTTATGATAGAGCAGGGGAAGAACATTATAATGTGATCAGTGCGTTACATAAGTCTATGAGGGGAAATGATGCTAATGCGGCTATATATTGGTTGGCAAGAATGTTGGAAGGAGGCGAACAGCCTCTTTACATTGCAAGGCGGTTGATAAGGTTTACGAGTGAAGATGTTGGATTGGCTGATCCATTGGCACTTAATCAAGCTGTGTCATGCTACCAAGCTTGCCATTTCTTGGGTATGCCTGAGTGCAACGTGATTCTAGCGCAATGTGTGGCCTGTTTGGCTTTGGCTCCTAAATTAATATCTGTTTACCGTGCAATGGAGGTTGCATAGAAGGTTGTTTACCTTTTCAAACACTTTTTAATATTGTGCCTAACTATAAACTTCTAAAAGCATTTGGTTGTGCTTGTTACCCTTCCCTCAAGCCTTATAGTGCACAAAAATTTAATTTTCATACTTCTAAATGTGTATTTGTAGGTTATATTCTTGTTCATAAGGGTTACAAGCGCTTAAATGCAAATGGCCAAGTGTATATAGCTCAAAGTCTAAAGTTAAATGTGTCTGATTTTCCTTTTGTTAATAATTTTCTATCTCACAACTCTCCTCAAGTATATAGTTTTAAGTTTGAATATCTCAATACCTCTTCTACTTGGTTTTTACCTCATTGTTTAGCAGATTTTAATTTAAAGTTTACTAAGTTTGATCAGTCTTCTGAATATTGTACTGATTTTTCTTCTTCTTTAAGTCCTAAGATAACAGCTACTGTTCTTGGTGACCACACTAAATTACACCGTCAGTCTTCTCCTTCTCTCATACAATCCTCTTCTAAAAATATTGCCTCGTCCTTAAAGTCCAAGCTTGATTCTTTATCTCCTAGCTTTACAAAATTAGTCTTTACGTCTTAAAAAACTGACGAGTGTCTATCACATATGGTAGCTGCTATGGTTGTATCTTCTAGTTCTCTTTCTTCAGTACAAGAACGTTCTGTTTTACGAGCTCTCTCATCCCCAGCTTAGAAAAATGCTATGCAAGCAGAGTTCAGTGCATAAAACTTGGACTTTTGGGCCCTACAGTCTTGACATGAACATAGTGCAACATTAGTGGGTCTTCAAAACTAAGTACAATGCAGATTGTTTTATTAGGGGACTTAAACCTAGAATTGTGGTTAAGGGGCTCCAAAAAACTGCTAAGAGTGGATTATTTTGAAATTTTACTCCGGTGGTCCAAGATAAACATAGTGCAAAATTAGTGGTCCAACTTGTTAATTGTAGTATATATCTTAAATGAAAATAAAAAATGGTTCTTACTAATTGAATACTTAAGAAATATAAAATTGCATGAAAATGACATTGGATATTAATTTTTTTACGTTCTTGAAATAGTATATTATTAACTATTTAATAAATATAATACTCCCTTTGTTTTTTTATAATTGTCGTTTTGAGGGTATCAGTTCTTTCCAAAATCAATAACGTTACTAACCCAACCCTCTCTCTTGCTCGACATTTGCCCTTGTCGTTTTTCTTTCGCTATTTTTTTGACCCATATCTCTTTTCTCTCTTTCTTTACTCTGCCCTCATCTCCTCTCTCCAATTTCTCTATGACCCACATCTTCTCTCTCTCTCTCTCTCTCTCTCTCTCTCATCTCCTCTCTTCCACATTTTCTATCACCCACATCTCCTCTCTCTTTTTCTCTATCACGGTCATGGTGAGTGATGAACATAATCAGAGAGATGGAAGTCACTAAAAAGAGATGACCATGGTGAGTGACAAACAGAATAAAAGAAATGGAAGTGAGCAACAAACAGAATAAAAGAAATGGAAGTAAGTTAGTAGGAGAGAGAAAATGACAATATATACATATTAAAATTTTTAGTATTTCACACGTGTATGTAGTGGGAAAAACAATATTTTCCCAGCTATAATATTAAAGGAAAAAGTAGTTTAAGAAGAGATAAAATTGATTTATTAAAAAGTGTGCAGAGGTTTAAAACGACAATTATAAAGAAACGAAGGGAATATTATATTTTGTTACATGTGACTTAATATAAGTGTTGTTTGTCGTTAATATAATATTGTTTATGAAGTGTTTCAATTACAAGCAATAAACATACCCAATATTAAAGTTGTTCAATAATTATCAATTAGGAAAAAATTACGTAAGTGTGCATAAAGAATGAACTCATATTAAAAAGTGGTTTTTGACAAACTTGCATGTCTTTTATATGTTTTAAAACAATTAAAATTAACAGTGTTAGTCTCATCAAATAGTCTAAATACTAAGGGGATGATGCTCGAAAAATAGAAAATTAATCCTAATTAATTAATGAAGTAATTTATGATAATAGAAATATGATTAAAAACAGATAATGTAAATTGAAAGATGATAAAGTAATCATGGTCAACAGAATATGTGGTCACAATTGCAATTTGCAAAGCCCAAGAATGTAGAAAACAAAAACATTTTAATCGATCAAATATATCTAAAGCATGCATAAAATTAAACAAAAATTACATTAATCATTATTGGAAAATATGCCACCACTTTTCTGCCACCCTTCCCTTTCACCGCCACTTCCCAAACTCAAAACCCCCACAATTCATTTCCGTCTTAGCAAAATATGCTAGGAAGGCCAACCTCATTTAGCCCGGCAACTGTTCGTCACAATTCCCCGCCCAACAACCGTCCTTTGGAACACCATCATTATTGGTTTTATTTGCAACAAAATGCCACAAGATGCCATTTTGTTCTATGCCCAGATGAAAAAATCCGTTCCTTATACTTTGTATGATAACTATACTTACTCTTCGGCTCTCAAAGGCTTTTGCCGCGACACGCAATTTGAGAGTCGGTAAAGCTGTCATTTCCGTTTAATTAGGGGCTTATTGAACCCCAGTAGGATTGTGGATAACTCTCTGTTGAATATGTACTCTACTTGTTTGAGTTCTGTGGTGGATAGTGAAATTAGTGCGTGTGGTTATTCTGATTTTGATTATTCAAAGTATGATTTAGTTTGTAAAGTATTTGATACGATGAAAAAGGAGAAATGTCATTTGGGTGTTGTTGCGTGGAATACTATGGTCTCATGTTACGTAAAGACAGAGAGGTATGCAGAAGCGATTAGGCAATTTAGGATGATGATGATGAAGTAAATTACACCCGGTACTGTTAGTTTTGTTAATGTTTTACCGGCTTGTGGCGAGTTTAGGGGACTATAAGAACGGTAACGTACTTAATGGATTGCTTGTTAAATTTGGAAGTGAATATGTAAATGATTTGTTTGTTGTGAGTTCGGCTATTTTCATGTATGCTGAGCTTGGTTGTCTTGATTTCGCTAGGAAGATTTTTTCTGTTGTTTGGAGAGAAACACTGAGGTTTGGAACACTATGATCGGTGGGCATGCACAGAGTAGTTCCCCTGTTGAAGCTATTGTGCTTTTCATTGAAGCTATGTTATCAGGTGAAATTGATTTTGATGAGGTGACTTTTTCTATCGGTCTTAACTGCAGTTTCACAGTTGCAGCGACTGGACTTATCTTAACAGCTGCATGCCTATATAATTAAGAATTTGGCAACATTGCCAGTTATTGTATTGAATGCAATAATTGTCATGTATTCAAGATGCGGCTTTGTCCTTACATCATTTAAAGTTTTTGATAATATGCTGGAACGGGATGTTGTTTCTTGGAATACAATGATTTCTGCTTTTGTTCAGAATGGGTTGGATGATGGAGGATTAATGCTTTTGTATGAGATGCAGAAACAACAATTTATGATTGATTCCATTACTGTTACTGCTTTGCGTCAACAGCTTCAAATCTGAGAAACCGTGATATTGGAAAGCAGACCCATGCTTATCTCTTAAGGCATGGCATTCAGTTTGAGGGAATGGAAAGTTATCTTATAGACATGTATGCAAAATCTGGTTTGATTAGAGCTTCTCAACAAAATTTTGAGAGAAACCATACTGGGGACAGAGATCAAGCCACTTGGAAAGCTATGATTGCTGGGTATACCCAAAATGGATTGGTTGAGGAAGCTTTCATTACTTTTAGGCAGATGCTTGAGCAGAACGTAACTCCCAATGTTGTGAATATAGCATCTGTGCTCCCAGCTTGTAATCCAATGGGAAATATAGAGTTGGCCATTTGGGCAAGCAACTTCATGGATTTTCTATCCCCCATTTGTTGGACCAAAATGTCTTCGTAGGCTCTGCTTTTGTTGATACGTATTCTAAGTCGGGGTCAATTTCTTATGCTGAAAATGTGTCTGCCCAAACCTCTGAAAAAATGCAATTGTAGAGCTCTTTCTTTGTTTCGCAGAATGCAAGAATGTTACATTGAACCTGATGCCGTTACCTTTGTCGCAGTGTTGTCTGCTTGTAGTTATGCTGGCTTGGTTGATGAAGGTCTTCAAATATTTGAGTTGATAGAGAGTAAATACAAGATTCAGCCCTCAACTGAGCACTATTGTTGTGTTGTGGACATGTTAGGTAGGGTTGGGAGGGTGGTTGAAGCCTATGAGTTTGTCTAAAAATTAGGTGCAGGGGGGAATGTGTTGGAAATTTGGGGTTCGCTTCTTGGTGCTTGCAGACTTCATGGAAAATCTGATTGGGAGAAGTTGTTGCCAAGAAGTTGCTTGAATTAGATACAAGAAAAAAATGACGAGCTATCATGTTTTGCTCTTAAATATCTATGCAGAAGAAGGAAACTGGGAAAATGTTGACAAAGTAAGGAAAGAGGTGAGAGAAAGAGGGTTGAGAAAAGAAGTTGGATGTTCTTGGATTGATACTGGAGGTTATGTGAACCGTTTCACGTCTAAGGATCAAGAGCATCCGCAAATTGATGAGATATATGAGACGTTGGAAGGATTAGCCATGGAAATTAAAAATGCTGGTTATAGGGCGAACCGAAGCTCTAATCTAGATGTCATCTCGCAGTTTAATGAATGAACTGGAATATTCATTATAGACTTTGAAAATGGGAGAATGAAAACCATGTTTAATGAAGACAACTAGCTGCAAAATTGTTGGCTGTTGAAAGGCCGGTAGTTGGTCATTTAATTATTGGGGATGCAAGATGATGGTAGGTCTAAATCTTGGTCTTCTGTCAAGACTGACAATTTCGATCAATGCTCAACTTGCTCAGTTGAGCAGCTCAGTGTTTAGCATGACACAATTATTTGAATGTTTGCATGGTCTTTAATATAAGATTACTGGATCTTATATTACTATATTTGGTTGTCAAGTAATATAAGATTACCGGATCTTATATTACTTGACAACCAAATAAGGTAATCAAGTAATATAAGATGACATTAATTCAGTAATCCTATATAACCCCTAAACAAACACGCCCTTAGGGTTATCATTTTCCTTAATCCCTTGTTAAAGGAGGATTTCATTTCAATTGAGAAGCGTATCATTTACGAATATCTCATAGAATATCTTATTAATATCTCATATCATTCCTATTATACTAGATGCCAAATTCAGGTACTAAAGTCATAAACCATGATTTTTTTTTTTTTTGGTTAAAATTATTATTCAAAGCCTCTTACAATAATAAATTCACTCATAAGCTTAACTTATATATTTATTTATTTATATTTATAGTTGCAATGTCTTTGAACCCTTGCCCCATCTCGCCCCTACTATATTAGATGCCAAATTCGAGTACTAATTAAAGTCATAAACCCTATCCCTCCCCGTCACAGTGGAGACACAAACCTGGGACATTGCTAAAACTGAATGCGCTCCCTTCTACTAGGACAAGCCTTCAGTGGTACTTTTATATTTAATTAGAATATTTGAATATAATTTAATGTATGACTTTAGTTTCAGACTGTATGCACTATTTATAATATTTAATATTATATAATTATATATAGATCGTAAAAAAAAAAAAAAAAACCCAAAAGGCTACATGGTCACTCTAAACCGAGCAAGCCCTCTTTCTAGTTGCCTGTGTCTGTTATCGAGGATTTACTGATTTCACCTCTAAAAAGGGTAATGATTTTTAGCCCTACATTTTTTATCAGAGGCCCCACTTTATTTTTTTTTTGACAAGTTAACCTTAAGTAAATTACTATAAAGGGAAACTATAAACTTCGTTCATCTTCCCACAGATCACATTCACTTCCTGGATCCAACCCCAGAAAATTCTTCCCTTTATTTATTGAATCTCATAAACCCAATCAAGCGCTGTCCTCTAAGCTTCTTCACTCCGAGTCAGCCTCCGATGACTCAACCAACTCGCCGGGTTCGTTCTCGACATGTTTGTGCAAAAAAAGATTGGCTATGAAAGGCTAGCAGTTGGTCTTTTAGTTTATATGGATACAACTCGATGATAGGTTAATGTTGGTAGTCTTTTTTCCTGACTAACAATTTGGATCACTGCTCAAGAAAATGCAAATTATAAAACAAATTACTAATGATATACAGGATTTGATATACATTAAGTTAACAAGAAAATGCATACTTTAGGCTCTCTGTGGTTTTTTGTTTTTATTTCCTTCTCCATGCTCTGATGAATGTTAATAAGAATTAATTCATGTAATTTCATTTTCCCTTTTTTTCGAAAGAACAGATGTTACATGGATTTCGGAACTCAACAAGACCATATTCACCCCATAGCGCTTCTTGTTCAGGATCGACAAACTCTACAATCTGGTAATCTCCTCATCATCTGCAATTGAGCAGGAAAAAAAATAATGGAGTTGGCAGGGGAGTCAACGCCATCTACCGCCTTCTGCAAAGTTTGCGCCCGCTTAAGTTCTAACAGGTAAAGGATGCCCAAAATATTTCTTGTGAATTCCAATAGATAAACAATAATCTTCTTAATTCTTTTCACACTGCATTTATATAGAGCAAATATGGCTTATATCTACCATGTCACAAGTTAATACGTGAACATCTGATAAACGAGGCAAGACTTGACTTTTAAATAATTTGCCATAACCTAGTTTAGGATGATTTTGATTAATCAAAAAGCAAGACATCTTCGTCTATTGGTAAAATATTTGAACATAAATCAATAAAGTAAGGTTAGATTCATTATCTGAAAAGTATTACTCAAGCTACTTTTCAATTATCAGTTATTTGAACACATACAGGTCTTCTCCCTGTTAGCAAAGCATTTACATCATCACTGACTTATCGTCTTGTTTACATAGATAGTTTTACTTCAATTAATTTCTATTTAAAATCCATTAACTTTCACTGAATTTTACTCTCAAAACTCAAAAACACAATAACCAGCTTCAATGAACAAGAAAGCCAACCTCGTCTTCATCCCTACACCAGGCGTCGGCCACCTCGGCTCCACCGTGGAGCTGGCAAAGCTCCTCGTCCACCGCCACCAATGCATCTCCATCACGGTCCTCGTCATGAAATTACCCTTTGAATCCAAAGTTAACACCTATCTAAACTCACTCCCTACTAGAGACTGCATCAACTTCGTTCATCTCCCAAGCGATGACCTTCAAGAATTCGACCCCAGAAGCTTCTTCACTTCGATCATTGAATCTCATAAACACCTCGTCAAAGAAGTCGTTTCTAAGCCTGTTCACTCCGAGTCAGCCTCCCATGACTCACCTTGACTCGCCAGGTTTGTCCTCGACATGTTTTGTACCAGCATGACTATTGGATTATTAGTATAATCAGTTAATTAGTTTAGTTAGCTAATTAATCTGTCAGTTAGTTTGTTAAGTGGTTTAGTTAATTGGTTAAATAGTTAGTTAGTTGTTAGTTAGGTGTTATGGTTAATTAACTGTGGTTGACTAACTATGGTTACTTGTATATATATATATATAAACTGTTCTTCTTGTAAACGGATCCCTTTAAGCTGAATAAAAAATTTCTCATCTCTCCAATGCAATTTGTTCATAGTATCAAAGTAGTGTTTTTTCAACAGTTAGATCTTTGGTAATTGATTTGACTTTTTTCGATCAGATTCACTGTAAATTTAACTGAAAAATGAGAGATCGACGTACTACTGATTAGATCTAGTTAGTAGTGTACCATTATACTAGACCCGATCATCTTTCAATGGTGGTAGTCAGAATCTGACAAATATCGATAAATGGAGGTGTTTTTATCAATTTTTAATTTTTATTGTGGGTGTTTAGTTAAATTAATAAACTTAAAGGATTTAAAAAAAGTTGAATAAAATATAATAATATTTTCAGAATAGAAAAATAAACTGGTATTTTAGAAATAATATGAATAAGATATTGAAAAATACTAAACCAAATGGATCTAGAATTCCCCAAATTCAAATCTCCTCTCAAAATTCACTGTCCTAAATTGGCAAACCAAAAAATAACCAACTGAGGTGGCATATGTCATGTAAAATGCCACGTCATGCAGTCTAAAGGTAACATTATTCTACTTAAAAACAAAAATTGAATAGAATAAAATAAGAAAATGAAGTATAATAAGACAAAGGATATTAAAGTCTTTATGTGTTGTACACCCATTGATGTGTCTCACTCTCACGTTGGTTTCCACACATCCGCCGACACTATCACACAAATAATCAAAGAGCACTACAATGATGAACAACACCACATTCATGATGAGTCAGTTACCGAGTTCACATTTATGATAACTCAATGCCTTCAGATATGGACGGTCGAGATGATAATTTTAAAAAAAATATTTTGATTTAGAAGCGTGATCTCGCCCGTCACACCTAAGCCGGCGGCGACCAGGCCACATTTTTTATTCCTTTATTATTAAATAAATATTTTTCTCATAAACTGGCATAGTAATTATATCATCATCTTCATCAGCCCTTTGTCCTGTATATTCCTTTATGATGAGTCAGTTACCGAGTTCACCGAAACAGGAACATGTGTTTATCTTGGTCCACTGTGGCCACCGCCTCTCCATCACCGTCCTCATCATGCAGCTCCCCTTCGACACTAAAGTCCCCGTCTACCTTCATTCACTCTCTCTCTCTCCACTCAACCCGAACTTCAAAATCATTCAACTCCCAGAAGTCAATCTTTCCCCTTCAAAATCATCTTCTCGTATAAGCTTCATGGATTCGTTCGTGAAAAGCTATTAACACCTCGTCAAAGAAGCAGTCACTAAGCTAATTCAGACGAAGTCAGCCTCTGGTGACTCACCTCGACTCGCCGGGTTCGTTCTCGATATGTTCTGTGCGGACATGATTGAAGTTGAGAATGATTTTGGAGTTGCTAGCTACATTTTCTACACCTCCAGTGCAGCTTTTCTTAGTATGCAGTTACACTTGCAAGTTCTTTGTGATGAGCCCATCACTGAGTTGAAAGACTCGGTCACTGAGTTGATTGTCCTGAGTCTCATTAAGCTGTTTCCTGTTAGGAATTTGCCTATTGTGTTCACAGAGAAAGAGTGGACTACTGTTATGTTTCAACAAGCAAGCGGGTTCAGAGAAGCAAAGGGCATCATTGTAAATACATTCAAGGAGTTGGAATCCTATGCGGTCGAGTCTTCCTCTGATGCTAAGTTGAACAACACCCCACCTGTGTATACACCGGGACCCATTTTGAATTTAGAGGGTGATGAGATTGATCGAGGATAAGGTGGATCAATCTCAATAACAGAGATCAAGGAGTGGCTTGATGATCAACCGCCATCATCGATTGTGTTTCTTTACCCCGGGAGCATGGGAAGCTTCAGTGAGGACCAGGTGAAAGAAATCGCTTGTGCGCTTGAACATTGCGGCCATCGGTTTTTGTGGTCCTACTGGTTATGCTAATCTGACGGACGTGCTACCATTTTATCTTCCATTTTATCTGTCCGACTCAATTTACCGAACTTTTCAGACAAGACCCACTTCCTGAACACACACAAGAACAGCATCCGTGCAGTTGTCGGGAATGCCGCGGCCGGCGCTGAGGCTGAACTGATAGAAGCTTTGCCAAAGCTTGAGATCGCGGTAAGTTTCAGCGTGGGGCTTGACAAAGTTGACTTGGGGAAGTGTAAAGAGAAGGGAATAAGAGTCACAAACACTCCTGATGTGTTGACTGATGACGTGGCGGATTTGGCAATTGGGTTGACTTTGGNTGGTTTTTTGTTTTTATTTCCTTCTCCATGCTCTGATGAATGTTAATAAGAATTAATTCATGTAATTTCATTTTCCCTTTTTTTCGAAAGAACAGATGTTACATGGATTTCGGAACTCAACAAGACCATATTCACCCCATAGTGCTTCTTGGTCAGGATCGACAAACTCTACAATCTGGTAATCTCCTCATCATCTGCAATTGAGCAGGAAAAAAAACAATGGAGTTGGCAGGGGAGTCAACGCCATCTACCGCCTTCTGCAAGGTTTGCGCCCGCTTAAGTTCTAACAGGTAAAGGATGCCCAAAATATTTCATGTGAATTCCAGCAGATAAACAATAATCTTCTTAATTCTTTTCACACTGCATTTATATAGAGCAAGTATGGCTTATATCTACCATGTCACAAGTTAATACATCATGAACATCTGATAACCAAGGAAAGACTTGACTTTTAAATAACTTGCCATAACCTAGTTGAGGATGATTTTGATTAATAAAAAAGCAAGACATCCTTCTCCATTGGTAAAATATTTGAACATAAATCACTAAAGTAAGGTTAGATTCATTAGAGTCTGAAAAGTAATACTCAGCTACTTTTCAATTTCCAGTTATTTGAACACATACAGGTCTTCTCCCAGTTAGCAAAGCATTTACATCATCACTGACTTATCGTCTTGTTTACATAGATAGTTTTACTTCGATTAATCTCGATTTAAAATCCATTAACTTTCATTGAATTTTACTCTCAAAACTCAAAAACACAATAACCAGCTTCAATGAACAAGAAAGCCAACCTCGTCTTCATCCCAACACCAGGCGTCGGCCACCTCGACTCCACCGTGGAGCTGGCCAAGCTCCTCGTCCACCACCACCAATGCATCTCCATCACGGTCCTCGTCATAAAATTACCCTTTGACTCCAAAGTTAACACCTATCTAAACTCACTCTCTGCTAGCGACCGCATCAACTTCGTTCATCTCCCAAGTGATGACCTTCAAGGATTCGACCCCAGAAGCTTCTTCACTTCGTTCATTGAATCTCATAAAAACCTCGTCAAAGAAGTCGTCTCTAAGCTTGTTCACTCCGAGTCAGCCTCCCATGACTCACCTCGAGTCGCCGGGTTTGTCCTCGACATGTTTTGTACCAGCATGACTATTGGATTATTAGTACAATCAGTTAATTAGTTTAGTTAGCTAATTAGTCTGTTAGTTAGTTAGTTTAGTGGTATAATTAATTGGTTAAATAGTTAGTTAGTTGTTATGGTTAATTCACTGTGGTTGACTATATATATATATAAACTGTTCTTCTTGTAAACGGATCCCTTTAAGCTGAATAAAAAATTTCTCTTCTCTCAAATGCAATCTGTTCATGCTATGAGCCAAATTTTTGGTCGTTGATATGATCTTTTTTTGTTAGATCCATAATAGATCTGGTCAAAAAATGATAGATCGGCATACTACCGATCGGATCTAATCGATAGTGCACCATTATACCAAATTTCGGCTATCTTTCGATGGTGGTGATCAGAATCTGACAAATATGGATGAGTGGGGGTGTTTTTATCAATTTCTAAACATTTTTTTCGGTGGGTGTTTAGTTAAATTAATATTAAGGGGTTTAAAATTAGTTGAATAAAGTATAATAACATTTTCAAAATAGAAAACAAACTGGTATTTTAGAAATAGTATGAATAGGATAGGGAGAAATACCAAACCAAACAGACCTAAAATTCCCCAAATTCAAATCTCCTTCCAAAATTCATTTATCTTAAATTTGCAAACCAAACAATAACAAGCTGAGGTGGCATATCTCAAGTAGGATGCCACATCATGAAGTAAAATAAAAATAGTGTAATAGTAACATTATTCATACTTAAAAACAAAAATTGAATGAAATAAAATAAGAAAATGAAGTATAATAAGACAAAGGATATTAAAGAGCCCTTTTGTTTTATTATTTTGGATAAGATTTTAGGGATAATATTGGGTAATTGAATAAGGGAGTATTACGAGGTAAAATTTAAAAATTTATTAAAAAAAACCCCTAGATTTGCTAATTTAATAAACACTCCAATATATAAAAATATTGTAAAATGATCAAAACACCCCTACCACCCGCAGTGCTAAATTCCGGCCACTACCGTCAGAATCTGGTCGAAAAATTGCGTAACAACACATATTGGTCAGATCTGGCAGGTATTCGATCGATATGGCATTTTCCAGCCAGATTCGTGGCGAATCTGGTTGGAAAAGGCCAGATCTACGGCCAAATATGGTCGTCGACGCTGGAAAAGTCTATCTTTGGCCGATTTGGCTGTCGTTGACTGTCAACGATAGCCATTTTTTCAGCCAGATCAGTGAATTATCTGCCATTTTCGATGGTAGTGTAGACCATTGTGACAGATTTTGGCTACTACCGACGGTGATTATCGGAATCTAGTAAGTATTGGTGGGTGAGGGTGTTTTTGTTAATTTTTAAATTTTTTTTAGGGATGTTTGATGAAATTAATAATCTTAAGAGATCTAAAAGTAATTAAAAATATACTAATATTTCTCAAATAAGGATTAAAAATATAGTTAGAAATAATAAGCAAACTCCACACATCCGCGGACACTATCAAACAAACCTTTCACTACCAATCAAAGTCCAACACCACGTTTATGATGAGTCAGTTACCGAGTTCACTGAAACAAGAACATGTGTTTATCTTGGCCCACTCGCCCCGTGACAGGGGCACGCACAATAATAACTCAATGCCTTCAGATATGAATGGTCGAGATGATAATTTTAAAAAAATTATTTTGATTTACAAGCGTGATCTCGCCCGTCACACCTAAGCCGGCGGCGACCGCCGACCAGGCCACATTTTTTATTCCTTTATTATTAGATAAATATTTTTCTATAACTGGCATAGTACTTATAAGTTATATCATCATCTTCATCAGCCCTTTGTCCTGTATATAACTGTCCATCAACTTTGTTAGTAAACAAATGTACAAAACAAAAGGATGAAGAAAGCTGAGCTAGTGTTGATCCCTTCATCGGGCGTCGAGGATCAGGTAGATCCATCTAAATAACGGAGATCAAGGAGTGGCTTGATGATCAACCGCCATCATCGATTGTGTTTCTTTGCCCCGGGAACATGGGAAGCTTCAGTGAGGACCAGGTGAAAGAAATCGCTTGTGCCCTTGAACATTGCGGCCATCGGTTTTTGTGGTCCCTATGTCAACCTCTACCGAAGGGTCAAGTTGGTAATCCTACTGATTATGCTAATCTGACGGACGTGCTACCTGAAGGGTACATTGATCGGACGACTAAGATTGGAAAAGTAATCGGATGAGCAATTTGGATGTTCACAAGAATTGATTCATTCAAAAATTTGTAATCTCATTTTCCCTTTTGTGAGAATCAGTTATAATTGTGAGAATAACAAATGTTACATGGAATGCGGAACTCAGAAAGACCATGTTTACTGTAGAGCACATCATCATCTATAACCGAGTGGCATGATCGTAGAGTTGCCAGGGTAGTTGACACCATCTACCGCCTTCAAAACACTAGTAAAAGGGTGCTGAACTATTTCATGTGAATTACAATTACCCAATCCTATCTGAAAATCAATCCTACTCGAATCAAATTTTCAGGTATGCGGCAAACAGGTAGAAAGCTTGGATCTTGATTCATCTTCCATTTTATCTGTCCGACTCAATATACCGAACTTTTCAGACAAGACCCAGTTCCTGAACACGCACAAGAACAGCATCCGTGCAGTTGTCGGGAAAGCCGCGGCCGGCGCTGAGGCTGAACTGATAGAAGCTTTGCTAAAGCTTGAGATCGCGGCGAGTTTCAGCGTGGGGCTTGACAAAGTTGACTTGGGGAAGTGTAAAGAGAAGGAATAAGAGTCACGAACACTCCTGATGTGTTGACTGATGACATGGCGGATTTGGCAATTGGGTTGACTTTGGCTGTGTTGAGGAGGTTGTGTGAGAGTGATCGGTATTTAAGNAAACACATTATAGGGGTATATTTGTAAGATTTTAAACCTATAAGGACTGATATATTTTTAGGGGTGTGTTAGTAAGATTTTAAACTTTTTGGATCACTAGAAACCGTTGGTTTAACCAGTCGGACTAGTCAACCCAGGACGTAGTGGCCTTGGTGGGTCCCTTAATAGGTCGGGCTTTGAAACAGGGGTTGGAATTAGCGGTTGAGGTTAAAATGGATTATAAGAAGGATATTTCAAGCGAGAGTGTAACAGTTGTGATTGCAAAAGATATAGAGAAAGGAATCAAGAAATTAATGGAAGATGATAGTGAGATAAGGAAACAGATGGGGGAGATGAGTGAAAAGAGCAGAAAGGCAGTGATGGAGGGTGGATCTTCCTTCTCTTCGTTGGGTAGCTTCATTGATGATGCGATGGACAACATTGGAATATTTATTTCACTTTAAAGAGGAATGTATTAGAACACCAATGATGCTCTAATGGATGTTCACAAGAATCAATTATTCAAAATTTTGTAATTTCATTTTCCTTTTTTTTGAGAACATCAATTATAACCGTGACAGGAGCAAATGTTCTTGGAACACAATTTGCAATATGTTGGTCAATGTTCAGAAGAATTAATTCATTCAAAAGCTTGCAATTTCATTTTCCCTTTTTGTGAGAATGAGAAATGTTACATGGATTGCGTAACTCAAAAGACCATGTTTAATCGAGTGGCATGATCGTAGAGTTGCTACAGGAGTTAACACCATCCACCGTCTTCAAAGCACTAGTAAAAGGGTGCTGAACAATTTCATGTGAAGTCCACCAGGCAAATAATATTCTTTTGTTTCTTTTCACCCTCAATTTATATGGAGTACGTGTGGTTCTGTTGGGAATTTAGAATATTTAATGAAGAAGCTGCAGCAAAGAAAATAATAGAAAGTGTTATGCCCAAAAAAACCAGGGTTGAGGTGAGCTTAAATAAGCAAAGACCAATCAAAATTAGAAAGGTTTTCTATCATCTTGATGCAGTCAAGTCCAGCAAGGATGAAAGGGGTAAGGCCATCGTCAGTGAGACAGGTGAACGATAGACTTATGAGTGGTTAGGAATTATCTACCTGTTGAAGTCCTATACGATTTAAGAATATCTCTCATACAGACAACTAATGGGAAGTGGATTAGAAATTGTACCACACCTACGCACATGCAGAATCATGATTACCAGCTTAAATCCTTCAACTATAAATAGAGAGCTCTCCTCCATTTTACATGATTGGCTCACCCACCGCTAAAAACATATACTCTCTCTTTCTCTTTACACTTATTTTCTCTATTGTAATTCAGTTAGCCGAGTACAACCTGATTGTTATCACCCATTAATATAATTACAGTGGACATATGATTTATCTTAGGCATCTAAACCACTTTAAAAATTGCTACATATTCAATATCTCTTTTTATACTTCCATATTATGTGTGATTTCTAAATTTATTTAGTATTTTATATGCGTAAATAGTTAATATCAAAATCAAACATCATCGTAAAGAAATGCATAAAATTGAAGCTCACTTATTATTTACGAACTGAAAGTGCCTATTTAGATAGGCTTACAACCAAAAGCAAACTAGCAGAGCTTTACTCAACCACTACAGCCACTAACGAGATTTTAGCTACAATATCAGACCCTTTATTTGACTAACAGAAGTAGAAAAATATGGGCCAATATTAACAAACCAAAAGACCAAGTCAAACTTTGAATCATTCCTCAACACTCTCCCGTGATTCAAGGTTGCAAACACCAAGCTGAAATCACAAGTAAACAAACTTATCTCTTGGCAGAGGCTTTGTAAGTATAAATGCCAATTGATCATTTGTGTTACTAGAGGATGTTCTTGGATCGATACTAGAGGTTATATTAACCGTTTTGCATCTAAGGATCAAGAGCATCCACTGAGTGATGAGATGCTGGAAGGATTAGCCATGGAAATGAAAAATGCTGATAAGTGCCTGAATTGAAGAAATGCAAATTATGTCCGTAATCAAAGGCCGCCTTCATCTACACCTACTCCTAATGTTATTAATTTCAACCAAGTATAGTAAATTATTAGTTAATTGCCTTCGCTTTATCACTTTGAACTAGAACATTTATTTTTCTATAAAATATGCTTTGAATAAAATTATCGCCTTTGACTTCGATGATTGCATGAATCTTTTAATTAAGATATAGTCTACTGATTTAATTATCACATGCTTTGAACAACTTACTTGGGAGTCTCAAAGAAAATAATCAAATATTATTGCCGTCATTTTTTATTCATAAATAATTTTACTTCAATCTCTATATAACTTTCATTCAATTTTACTCACAATACTCAAAAACAATCACCAGGTTCAATGAACAACAAAGCCGAGCTCGTCTTCATCCCTGCACCAGGCGTTGGCCACCTCGGCTCCACAGTGGAGTTGGCCAAGCTCCTCCTCCACCGCCACCAACGCATCTCCATCACTGTCCTCGTCATGAAATTACCCTCCGACTCCAAAGTTAACACCTATCTAAACTCACTCTCTTCTGGCGACCGCATCAGCTTCCTTCATCTCCCCAATGATGACCTACAAGGATTCGACCCCAAAAAATTCTTCCCTTCTTTCATTGAATGTCATAAAACCCTCGTCAAAGAAGCCGTCTCTAAGCTTGTTCACTCCGAATCAGTCTCCAATGACCCACCTCGACTCGCCGGGTTTGTTCTCGACTTGTTTTGTACAAGCATGATCGATGTTGCTGATGAGTTTGAAGTTCCTAGCTATATTTTCTTCACGTCCGGTGCGGGTTTTCTGGGTTTGATGCTTCACGCGCAGGCTCTTTATGATAAGCAGAACAAACACATTGCTGAGTTGAAAGACTCGTATTCTGAGTTGGAAGTACCGAGTCTCATTAACCCATTTCCTACTAGAGTTTTGCCTTCTGCGTACTGGGAGAAACCCATGATTCTGTTTGAGCTAACGAGGAGGTTCCGAAGGGCTAAGGGCATTGTTGTAAATTCCTTCATTGAGCTGGAATCATATGCGATCAACTCTTTCTCAAATGGTGAAACCAACATCCCACCCGTTTATCCTGTAGGACCCATTCTGAATCTAAATGGTGATAGCATTGATTTAGGTTTAGGTGGGTCCAAAACAAAAGCAGAGATCATGGAGTGGCTTGATGATCAGCCGCCATTGTCAGTTGTGTTCCTATGCTTTGGGAGCATGGGAAGCTTCGATGAGGATCAGGTGAAAGAGATTGCCTATGCGTTGGAGCAGAGTGGGCAACGGTTCTTATGGTCTCTTCGTCAACCTCGACCTAAGGGTCAGTCTGGCGCTCCAAGGGATTACACAAATCTAACGGACGTGTTACCAGAAGGGTTTCTCGATCGAACGGTCGGGATTGGAAAAGTGATCGGGTGGGCCCCACAAGTGTCGATCTTAGCCCACAAGGCGATCAGAGGGTTTGTATCGCATTGCGGGTGGAATTCGACGCTAGAGAGCATCTGGTTTGGAGTTCCAATCGCCACATGGCCGATGTACGCGGAGCAGCAATTCAATGCGTTTGAGATGGTGATTGAGTTAGGACTAGCGGTGGAGATTAAAATGGATTATAGGAAGTCGGAAGAGAATCAGACGATTGTGAGGTCAAGGGAGATCGAGAAAGGGATAAAGAAATTAATAGAGGATGAGAATGAGACAAGAAAAAGAGTGGAGGAGATGAGCGAAAAGAGCAGAAAAGCCATGATAGAAGGTGGATCTTCGTTCACTTCATTGGGGTGCTTCATTGATGATGTGATGAGTAATTTGTCATAAAATTATGATAGAACATGATGTAATAATTATATTTATAATAAACAATGTTATATTAATCAAATACATCTAATTTATTATGCCATTGTTCTTTCAAAAGGCAATTACGTGTTGTAAACTAATATAAAATCTTAACACCATCCATCTTGTTATACAGAATCTGAAGTGTTTATTTATTTATGATGAGTCCTCGTACGAGTTAGGTACCGAGTTGACTGAAACAGGAACATATAATTTTAAAAAGATTATTTTGATTTACAGGCGTTATCTCGCCCGACAACACCTAAGCCGCCGGGGACCAGGCCACAACTTTTTTTTATTCATTTATTAAAATTTTAGAATATTTTATTTCTTATTAATTTAGACAAAGCAATTACATCATCATCTTCATCATCATCCCATCAACTTTGTTAGTAAACCAAACAAAATGACAAAGAAAGCTGAGCTAGTGTTGATCCCTTCATCGGGCGTCGGCCACGTTGTAACGATGGTGGAGATGGCAAAGCTCCTAGTCCACTGCGATCACTGCCTCTCCATCACTGTCCTCTCATGCAGCTCCCCTTCGACACCAAAGTCCCCGTCTACCTTCACTCACTTTCTCTCTCTCCACTCAACCCGAACATCAAAATCATTTAACTCCCAGAACTCAAATCTTTCCCCTTCAAAATCATCTTCTCGCATAAGCTTCATGGATTTGTTCGCCAAAAGCCATAAACCCCTCTTCAAAGCAGTCACTAAGCTAATTCAGACCGAGTCAGCCTCCGGTGACTCCCCTCGACTCGCCGGGTTCGTTCTCGACATGTTCTGTACTAACATGATTGAAGTTGCGAATGATTTTGGAGTTCCTAGCTACATTTTCTCCACCTCGAACCAGCCCATCACTAAGTTGGAAGACTCGGCCACTGAGTTGATTGTCCCGAATCTCGTTAAGCCATTTCCTCTCAGGAATTTCCCTGTCGTGTTGATGGAGAAAGAGTGGACTACTGTTATGTTTCAACAAGCAAAGGGCATTATTGTAAATACATTCACGGTGCTGGAATCCTATGCGGCCAAGTCTTTCTCTGATTGTAAGTTGACCAACACCCCACCTGTGTATACACCGGGACCAGTGGCGGATCCAGGATTTCTGTGGAGGGCGGGCCTCCGCAACTCCGTCAATTATTTGTCAAACAACTAGTGAAAATTTTAAAAAATTATAAAACTTTAAGCAAAGAAAATAATACAATATCAAGAATTTGAGAGAAAATAATGCAATAACACAATACTTTTCTACTTGAATAAAATGATGAGAAGCAAAATTTTGAGTAAATGTATTAAGTAAACCTTGAGCAAAACCTTTTAAATTATTATTATTTTTTTCTTTTTTGGCTTCCAAAGATTATAATATAAATATCTAACCTAAGCTAAAGTTAATAAAAACTTAAATCAAGTCAATATTGCATTAACTTTTAATATGAATTAGTAAAAAAATGAATTTTTTTTTATATAAACATATATAGTAACTCAAATTTCTTTAATATTTTGAGTAGCAAAATGGTAACGTTTGAAATATAGGAAAGTGATGAGTGAATGGTAAAAAATAACGTCCTTTAAAATATAGTTAATATTTTGATTTGGAAAAATATGTCCATTCTTAAACACAAAATACAAAATTAACTTACAAGATCCATATTTTTTTCCCTCAAATTAGAATAAAAAAAAGCATGATTCAATCCTAAAATAAATTAAATTGAAATGAACAATACACATACATAAAACTGATAAAACAGAAAACAGAGCTAATTAATCCTAAAATAAATTAAATTGAAATGAGCAATACACATATATAAAACTAATAAAACAGAAAATAGAGCTAATTGTAACACCTTGAGTAGTGAAAGCTTCAACAATTTCAGTCTTTAAAAGTTTTAAGATCAAATAGCATGAAAAAGAGAATGAGAAAGTAAAGAATTTTGAAGATAAAATCATAAAAGGCAAGTGGAGCTTTGGAGAAGATTAGTAGAGAGAGTTTTAAACTTTTAATATGATATGGGCTTGAAATATATATATTACTAGCAAGTGTTTTTAGGGTCTACATATATATATATAATAATTCTTATTTTTTAAAAATATGAAGGTAGGCTTAGGTATATATATTAATAGCAAATTTTGTGGGTGTATATATTAATAATTTTTTTTTTTTTTTTTATTTAAAACTTGAGAGTGGGCCTAGGCCTGCCCTCAAAGGGGCTGGATCCGCCCCTGACCTAGACCCATTTTCAATTTAGAGGGTGATAATTGATAAGATTGATCGAGGATCAGGTGGGTCCGTCTCAATAACAGAGATCAAGGAGTGGCTTGATGATCAACCGCCAGCATCAGTTGTGTTTCTTTGCCCCAAGAGCACGGGGAGCTTCGGTGAGGATCAGGTGAAAGAAATCGCTTGCGCGCTTGAAAATAGAAGGCATCGGTTTTTGTGGTCCCTCCGTCAACCTCCACCAAAGGGTCAAGTTGGTAACTGTTGATGCGTGATTTTGACACCAATTAAACGCACGTGTGAAATGTTGAGCTGTCCTAGAAGACACACGTGAATTGAGTGAATGAGAGTAAAAGAAAGTGACAAGATAGTGTTTAAAGTGGTTCGGATGCTTAAGGAAGCAAATCCTACGTCCACTAATGTTATATTAATTATAGCGGTCAGGTTGCGGTTAGTGAGCTGACTTTACAAGTGGTTTTACAAGAGAGAGAGAGAGAGATACAATATATGTTATTTCCTTGAGAGATTAGCTGATCCCGAAATTGAGAGAGGAACTCTCAATTTATAGTGGGATGTATTAAGGTTATGATTACTGAATCTGTGAGTTGGTGGGAGTATCCGTACAAATCTTCCTTTACGTCCCATTGCACATCTTCCAAAGCGATTTGCGCGATTTGGTGCAGACATTGGACACGTGGAAGCTCTCCAACTCTTGGCTGGCCTGGCGCGCACCCACTACATTGACAGAAACAGGCTGTTCCTTCGTCACGTGACTCGGCTATGGGTTTCCCAGGTTCTGACTTTTGCATGTTGACTTGGCCCTACGTCAGCCTTGTTTTCTTTAGGCATAACAGTAACACTACTTATTATGCAAATCTGATGGACGTGCTACCTGAAGGGTTCATAGATCGTATGACTAAGATTGTGAAAGTAATCGGATGGGCCCCACAAAATATCGATCCTAGCCCACAAGGCGATCGGAGGGTTCGTATCACATTGTGGGTGGAATTCAGTGTTGGAAAGTGTATGGTTTGGCGTTCCAATTCCGGCGTGGCCAATGTACGCTGAGCAACAATTCAATGCCTTTGAGATGGTGATGGAGTTGGAATCATCGTTTTAAAACCCGAACCGAACCGACCTGTCAGACCGGTCCAACAGAGACCTGACACCTTCTTTGGTCCTGGTTACCAATTTTTACTATTCACAAAATCCCTAATTTGATCGTTGGTGAACGAGGGGGTACAGGGGTTAAAGGGATTTTGTAGAGTGGAGGTCGGTAATTCAAAGGGTGGTATCGGATTGAATTTTGGATGTTAGAATAAGCCAAAATTTGGCCAAAAAATTCAACCCAATTTGCAAGTCACGGCCAGCGAATGGAGGGCTACCAAGTGCCAGGTTAGAGAGATTTTTGTAGAGTAGAGGCTGGTGGTTTAGGTGGTGGTGTTTGATTGAATTTTGGCTGTCGAAATCAGTTGGAATTTGGCTGTAATCAAAATCCAAATAGATCCTTGGGGTGTATTTGCTAGATTTCAAATTTGTAGGGACTGATTCATATTTTTCAAGGGTGTGTTTCTAAGATTTTTATTTTTTGGATCACTGGTTAGATCGCTGGTTTAACCGTCGAACCAGTCAACATGGGACCCAATGGCCTTAGTGGGTCCCTTAACGGGTCAGGTTTTGAAACTAGGGGTTGGAATTAGCGGTTAATATTAAAATAGATTGTAAGAGCATCTCTAAAGGACTCTTTACATGACCCAAACTCTTTATTATAAAGAGTTTATTCATAAAAACAAAAGTCCAACAAACTCTTCATCCTTTAAATATAAATTAAATAGTGAGTTTGACTATTCACATTTAAATAATCAAATTTCACTTTCTATTATAATTTTAATTAATAAATTACAAATTTCTATGTATTTTAATTATTAATTCTCTCTCTTATTAAGTCTTTTTTTTGAAGAAAAAAATATCTTCATTAAATTTAAATAATTTATTAGATTTGAATAAAAAATTTATTTTTATTTAAAATTTAATAAAAATATCTTTTATTTATATAAAATATATTTTTTAAAATAAAGAGTATAGTTGAAAATGGTTAATGAATGATATTTGAGAGTGCAAAAGAAGGAATCAAGAAATTAATGGAAGGTGATAGTGAGATACGGAAACGGATGGCGGAGATGAGTGCAAAGAGTAGAGAGGCTGTGATGGAAGGGTGGATCTTCCTTCTCTTCGTTTGGTTGCTAATTGCTTCATTGGTGATGTGATGGACAACATTAATTGGATCAAACGAAGCTAATGAACCTTGACCAAATTGAAGTTAATTTATTAGAACTCCAATGATGTTCTAATGGATGTTCACAAAAGTCAATTAATTCAAAATTTTGTAATTTTTTTTATTTTTTTTTTTTTGCGGGAGAACATCAATATAATTGTGACAAGAACTAATCTTACATGGAATGCACAACTCAACAAGACCATATTCTCCTTCTAGCGCATCATCATCTACAATCAGGCAGCATGGTCATGGATCAGGAAATTGATGGAGAATGATAGGAATAAATTGAATGAGATGAGCGAAAAGAGTGGAAAAGCCATGATGGAAGGTGGATCCTCATTCACTTCACTGGGTTGCTTCATCGATAATGTGATGAGCAATTTATCTCAAAATTATGAGAAAAACTATTCATGTACAAGATTTGACATTGGTATACTTTGAGTGGATTCTTTTGGTTTCTTGTTTTTATTTCCTTCTTCTTGGAAAACAGTTTACAATATGTTGGTCGATGTTCACAAGAATTGATTCATTCAAAAACTTGTAATTTCATTTTCCCTTTTTGTGAGAATGAGAAATGTTACATGGATTGCGTAACATAAAAGATCATGTTTACCGTATAACGCATCAGCACCTATAATCGAGTGGCATGATCGTAGAGTTGCTACAGGAGTTAACACCCTCCACCGCCTTCAAAGCACTAGTAAAAGGGTGCTGAACAGTTTCATGTGAAGTCCACAGGTAAATAATATTCTTCTGTTTCTTTTCACCCTCAATTTATATGGAGTACGTGTGGTTCTGTTGGGAATTTAGAGTATTTAATGAAGAAGCTGCAGCAAAGAAAATAACAGAAAGTGTTATGCCCAAAAAAACCAGGGTTGACGTGAGCTTAAATCAGCAAAGACCAATCAAAATTAGGAAGGTTTTCTGCCATCTTGATGCAGCCACGTCCAGCAAGGATGAAAGGGGTAAGGCCATCGTCAGTGAGATAGGTGAACGATAGACTTATGAGTGGTTAGGAATTGTCCACCTGTTAAAGTCCTACACGATTTAAGAATATCTCTCATGAAGACAACTAATGGGAAGCGGGTTATAAATTGTACCACACCTACGCACACGCAGAATCATGATTACCAACTTGAATCCTTCAACTATAAATAGAGAGCTCTCCTCCATTTTACATGATTGGCTCACCCACCGCTAAAAACGTATACTCTCTCTCTCTTTACACTTATTTTCTCTATTGTAATTTAGCTAGTCGAGTGCGACCTGATTGTTATCACCTATTAATATAATTACAGTGGACATAAGATTCACCTTAGGCATCTAAACCACTTTAAAAATTGTTATATATTCAATATCTCTTTTTATACTTTCATACCACGTGTGATTTCTAAATCCATTTAGCATTTTATATACGTGAATAGTTGGTGTCAAAAATGCATAAAATTGAAGCTCACTTATACTGAACTGAAAGTGTCTATCTACAACCAAAAGCAAACTAGCAGAGCTTTACTCAACCACTAACGAGATTTTAGCTACAATATCAGACCCTTTATTTGACTAACAGAAGTAGAAAAATATGGGCCAATATTAACAAACCAAAAGACCAAGTCAAACTTTGAATCATTCCTCAACACTCTCCCGTGATTCAAGGTTGCAAACACCAAGCTGAAATCTAAAGTAAACAAACTTATCTCTTGGCAGAGGCTTTGTAAGTATATATGCCAATTGATCATTTGTGTTACTAGAGGATGTTCTTGGATCGATACTAGAGGTTATATTAACCGTTTTGCATCTAAGGATCAAGAGCATCTGCTGAGTGATGAGATGTTGGAAGGATTAGCCATAGAAATGAAAAATGCTGATAAGTGCCTGAATTGAAGAAATGCAAATTATGTCCGTAATCAAAGGGCGCCGCCTTCATCTACACCTACTCCTAATGTTATTAATTTCAACCAAGTATAGTAAATTATTAGTTAATTGCCTTCGCTTTATCACTTTGAACTAGAACATTTATTTTTCTATAAAATATGCTTTAAATAAAATTATCGCCTTTGACTTCGATGATTGCATGAATCTTTTAATTAAGATATAGTCTACTGATTTAATTATCAGATGCTTTGAACAACTTACTTGGGAGTCTCAAAGAAAATAATCAAATATTATTGCCGTCATTTTTTATTCATAAATAATTTTACTTCAATCTCTATATAACTTTCATTCAATTTTACTCACAATACTCAAAAACAATCACCAGGTTCAATGAACAACAAAGCCGAGCTCGTCTTCATCCCTGCACCAGGCGTTGGCCACCTCGGCTCCACCGTGGAGTTGGCCAAGCTCCTCCTCCACCGCCACCAACGCATCTCCATCACGGTCCTCGTCATGAAATTACCCTCCGACTCCAAAGTTAACACCTATCTAAACTCACTCTCTTCTGGCGACCGCATCAGCTTCCTTCATCTCCCCAATGATGACCTACAAGGATTCGACCCCAAAAAATTCTTCCCTTCTTTCATTGAATGTCATAAAACCCTCGTCAAAGAAGCCGTCTCTAAGCTTGTTCACTCCGAATCAGTCTCCAATGACCCACCTCGACTCGCCGGGTTTGTTCTCGACTTGTTTTGTACAAGCATGATCGATGTTGCTGATGAGCTTGGAATTCCTAGCTATATTTTCTTCACGTCCAGTGCGGGTTATCTGGGTTTGATGCTTCACGCGCAGGCTCTTTATGATCAGCAGAACAAACACATTATTGAGTTGAAAGACTCGGATTCTGAGTTGGAAGTACCGAGTCTTGTTAACCCAATTCCTGCTAGAGTTTTGCCTTCCGTATACTTGGAGAAAGATTGGTCCATGATTGGGTTTGAGCTAGCGCGGAGCTTTCGGAGAGTTAAGGGTATTGTTGTAAATTCGTTCATGGAGCTGGAATCATATACGATCAAGTCTTTCTCAAATGGTGAAACCAACATCCCACCCGTTTATCCTTTAGGACCCATTTTGAATCTTGAGGGTAATAGCATTGATTTAGGGTCAGGTGGGTCCAAAACAAAAACAGAGATAATGGAGTGGCTTGATGATCAGCCGCGATCGTCAGTTGTGTTCCTATGCTTCGGGAGCATGGGAAGCTTTGATGAGGATCAGGTGAAAGAGATTGCCTGTGCGCTGGAGCAGAGTGGGCAACGGTTCTTATGGTCTCTACGTCAACGTCGACCAAAGGGTCAGTCTGGCGGTCCGAGGGATTACACAAATCTAACGGACGTGTTACCAGAAGGGTTTCTCGATCGTACGGTCGGGATTGGAAAAGTAATCGGGTGGGCCCCACAAGTGTCGATCTTAGCCCACAAGGCGATTGGAGGGCTCGTATCACATTGCAGGTGGAATTCGATACTAGAGAGCATATGGTTTGAAGTTCCGATCGCCGCGTGGCCGATGTACGCCGAGCAACAATTGAGTGCCTTTGAGATAGTGATTGAGTTGGGATTAGCGGTTGAGATTAAAATGGATTACATGATGGATTTTTCAAGAGAGAATCAAGAGATTGTGAGCGCTGGGGAGATAGAGAGAGGGATCAGGAAATTGATGGAGAATGATAATAAGACAAGGAAAAAATTGAAGGAGATGAGCGAAAAGAGTAGAAAAGCCATGATGGAAGGTGGATCTTCATCCACTTCACTGGGTTGCTTCATCGATGATGTGATGAGCAATTTGTCATAAAATTATGGGAAAAACTATTCATATAATACTTTGGATGGATTCTCGGTTTCTTGTTTTTATTTCCTTCTCCTTGGAACACAGTTTTCACAAGGCCATGTTTTGTAATTTCATTTTCCCTTATTGTGAGAATAACTAAATTATATGTGGGGGATTACACGTGAGAAGCTTTGATGCATTGTCTCCTCTTACTACATAAGACGCTTGTTCAAGTCTTACAAAAAAAACCATATGATGAGATATATGAGATGTTGGAAGGATTAGCCATGGAAATGCAAAATGCTGATGTAAGGCCACCTGAAGCTCCAAACTAGATGCCATCTCTCAGTTTAATGAATGAACAGGAATATTCTTCACAGATTTTGAAAATGGGAGAACGAAAACCATGTGTACGTAGTAAACTGAAGACAGCTAGCTGCAAAAGTAATTGGCCGTTGAAGGCTTGCAGATATAAACACGATGGTAGGTCTAAATGTTGGTCTTTTGTCCACACTGACTATTGATGCAGTGATACTTTTGCTGGAAATGCATCAAATTTCCAGTTTGCTGTTTGAATATTTTGGCGCCAATTGAATTCTGTTTCTGCAGTTGGTCTGACTTGTGTAGCTGCAGTTTTGGTGCATTTTAGTTGATTGGTTTAGGAGTGATTAAGTCATATAAATGATGTACTTTGAGCTTGTTTTTGTTGGTTGTTAGAGTTTAAATTCAAATGAAAAATCTCTGCTGTAGTTGTTGTAACAGTGGATGGTTTAGTTGTATTGTTGTATAAATTGTCAACTTTAATGAAGTAACTTCGGCTTTTCCATACTCTCATCAGTTTTTCCTTTCTTTTTCTTTGAATTCTCCGGCCATAATATCATCACTCACAATTTGGATCACTGCTCAATTGTTCAGTTGAGCAGTTCAGTGTTTAGCATGACGCAAATAGTCTGGATTCTTTAGTGGATCTTTCACACTTTATTTAAACAGGTCTTAACTCTTTTTTCAGGTAAACTACAAAAATCCTTTTCTCAACGCCATCTACCGCCTTCTGCCAGTTTGCGCCCCTGTCGCTCTGCAGAATCATACGAGTTAAACCTGGAGATCAACCAGGCAATCTAAGGTCCAACAGGTAAAGGATGCCCAAAATATTTCATGTGAATTCCAGCAGATAAACAATAATCTTCTTAATTCTTTTCACACTGCATTTATATAGAGCAAGTATGGCTTATATCTACCATGTCACAAGTTAATACATGAACATCTAATAAACAAGGCAAGGCTTGACTTTTAAATAATTTGCCATAACCTAGTTGAGGATGATTTTGATTAATCAAAAAGCAAGACATCTTTGTCTATTGGTAAAATATGTGAACATAAATCACTGAAGTAAGGTTAGATTCATTAGAGTCTGAAAAGTAATACTCGAGCTACTTTTCAATTACCAGTTATTTGAACACATACAGGTCTTCTCCCTGTTAGCAAAGCACTTACATCATCGCTGACTTATCTACTTGTTTACATAAATAATTTTACTTCAATTTCTATATAAAATCCATTAACTTTCTTTGAATTTTACTCAAAAAACACAATAACCAGCTTCAATGAACAAGAAAGCCGACCTCGTCTTTATCCCTACACCAGGCGTCGGCCACCTCGGCTCCACCGTGGAGCTGGCCAAGCTCCTCGTCCACCGCCACCAACGCATCTCCATCACGGTCCTCATCATGAAATTACCCTCCGACTCCAAAGTTAACACCTATCTAAACTCACTCTCTGCCAGCGACAGCATCAACTTCGTTCATCTGCCAAGCGATGACCTTCAAGGATTCGACCCCAGAAGCTTCTTCACCTCGTTCATTGAATCTCATAAACCCCTCGTCAAAGAAGCCGTCTCTAAACTTGTTCACTCCGAGTCAGCCTCCCATGACTCACCTCGACTCGCCGGGTTTGTCCTCGACATGTTTTGTACCAGCATGACCGATGTTGCTGATGAATTTGGAGTTCCTAGCTATATTTTCTTCCCACCCAGTGCAGCTTTTCTGGGTTTTATGCTTCACACGCAGGCTGTTTATGATAAGCAGAACAAACACACTGCTGAGTTGAAAGACTCGGATTCTGAGTTGGAGGTACCGAGTCTTGTTCACCCAATGCCTGCTAGAGTTTTGCCTTCGGTATACTTGGAGAAAGAAGGGTCCATGATTGTGTTTGAGCAGGTGAGGAGGTTTCGCAGAGTTAAGGGTATTCTTGTAAATTCGTTCATGGAGCTAGAATCCTATGCAATCAAGTCTTTCTCAAATGGTGAAACCAAAATCCCACCCGTTTATCCTATAGGACCCGTTTTGAATCTTGAGGGTGATAGGATTGCTTTAGGGTCAAGTGGGTCAAAAGCAGAGATCATGGAGTGGCTTGATGATCAGCCGGCATCGTCAGTTGTGTTCCTATGCTTTGGGAGCATGGGAAGCTTCGGTGAGGAACAGGTGAAAGAGATTGTCTATGCGCTCGAGCAGACTGGGTATCGGTTCTCGTGGTCTCTAGGTCAACCTTCTTTGAATGGTCAGTTTACTATTACAAGTGATTACACAAATCTAACAGACGTGTTACCCGAAGGGTTTCTCTATCGAACAGTTGGGGTTGGAAAAGTAATCGGATGGGCCCCACAAGTGTCGATCTTAGCCCACAAGGCAATCAGAGGGTTCGTATCGTATTGCGGGTGGAATTCAATTCTAGAGAGTATATGGTTTGAAGTTCCAATGGCGATGTGGCCGATATACGCGGAACAACAATTCAATGCGTTTGAGATGGTGATTGAGTTAGGAGTAGCGGTGGAGATTAAAATGGATTATAGGAAGGAATTTTCGGGAGAGAATCAGATGATTGTTAGGTCAAGGGAGATAGAGAAAGGAATAAAGAAATTAATGGAGGATGAGAATGGGATAAGAAAAAGAGTAAAGGAGATGAGCGATAAGAGCAAAAAAGCCATGATGGAGGGTGGATCTTCCTTCACTTCATTGGGGTGCTTCATTGATGATGTCATGAGCAATTTGTCATAAAAGCAATTTCGAGAACATGTATGTAATAATTATTTTTATAATAAACAATATGTTATATTAATCAAATAAATATATATTCTAAATTTCTAATCCAAGGGCAGCCATTTATTTATCCGGCCGAACGACTTGTGCATACCCAAGATTTATCGTAACGACAAGTTGGTACCCAAAAGGTTTTAAAATGATAAATAGGTACCTTCCGTCATATTCTGTTACTGATTTCTGTTTATTAATAGTGAAAAGACTAAAATGCCCTTCAAAGTTTCAATTTTAGATTTTTATAAATTTAAAAATTTCTAAAAAACCCCCTAAGTTTGCTAATTTAATAAACACCCCCATATATAAAAAGTTTGTTAAATAACAAAAACACCCCCAGTGCCAGATTCCGGCCACCATCGTCGGAATCTGGCCAGAAAACTAGGTCTGTGTCGTAACGTGCCGATCTGGCCTTTTCCGGCCAGATCCGTGGCGGATCTGGCCGGAAAAGGCAAGATCTGGCCGTCGAAGCAACAGCCAGATCTGGCCTTTTCTAGCCAGATCCGTGGCTGATCTGGCCGGAAAGGGCCAGATCTAGCCCTAGATCTGGCCATTTCCGGCCAGATCAGCCACGGATCTGGCCAGAAAAGGCCAGATCGACGCGTTACGACACATATCCGACGGGTCTGTGTAGTAACGCAATTTTCCGGCCAGTTTCCGACGGTGGTGGCCGGAATCTGGCACTGCTGGTGGCGGGGGTGTTTTTGTTATTGTACAAAATTTTTATACATTAGGGTATTTAGTTAAATTTGTAAACTTAGGGGGTTTTTTAGAAATTTTTAAATTTATAAAAAATCAAAATTCAAACTTTTAAGGGCATTTTAGTCTTTTCACTATTTATAAACAGTAATAAACAGAAACCACTAACAGAACATGACGGAAAGTACCTATTTGTCATTTCAAAACCTTTTGGATACCAACTTATCGTTACGTCAAACCTTGGGTACGTATAAGTCGTTTCCCTTATTTATCCCTAAGTTGGAAGTAACGTGTCTTGTTAACTCAATTCCTAATAGGGTTTTGGCTATCGTGTTATTGGAGAGAGTAGACTTATAGTTCTGTTTAAGCAAGCGAGAAGATATAAAGGATTGAAGGGTACGATCGTATGCTGTCAAGTCTTTCTATGAGGGTCTGATGTTCAATATACCACTTCTACAAACGGTGGGCTTGATCATCAACCTCCGTGAGCAAAGAAATCGCATGTGGATTAGAGAAGGGAATCAAGATATTATTGGACGGTGATGGTGTAGATGAGTACAAAGAGTATGTACTATGTACTAGAATACCAAAGTGGACAAAATTTAATTTTCCAAAGTGGACAAAATTTAATTTTTCTAAATCTTATAACCAAAATAATATTCCGTTAGTTTCAATGTCTACGTCATTCTAGACTTAATTTTTTTATATAATAAGTGTCTTTTCGACAAAAAAAGTTGAGCGTCCCTCTCTCTGTCTCTCGTTTTACGAGCCCTGTCTCGTCTCTTATTCTTCTCCTCTCTCTCTCTCTGTCTCTTCTTTATATTTTTGTTACTTGGTGTGCCCTCCATTTTCAAGAAATTTAAGATCCCTCGTATCTCAATTTTGAATCTGTCTCCGCGACTTAAATTGACATGATCTTAGCTTGTTATAGAGAGCCAGAAACGTAACCCACGTTAGCCTTCTCTATATCTCTATGTTTATATACTGTGTTTGAGTAATATTACATTTACCAAAATTTTATATTGAATTTTTATATCAAAGGACAAATCAATCAGTTAAACACGATTACGTTGGAGTTTTTTATTAATAAACAATCACCTAATATTTATAGACATTTATCTATATTTAATAGACTCATATTTATATTTAATGGACTCTCGTTCATATTATATGGACAGATATCCATTTATAATAGACGCTCATCCAAAAATTTTTACATTAAGTGGAAAGACATCCATTTTAGATAGACGTCTGTCCATTGTTTAATTAAGATGACATATTCATTTTAAAAGTGTAAAATTTTTAGATGAAATAAAAGAAAAAAAAATTGATTTTTAGCAAAAGTATAGACGTGCAATTGAACATTGGCTGAGCTTTTCATCTAAAAAAATTAAAAAAATAAAATAAAATTTGAGAATGGAAAATTTTTCATTTTTTTTTTCATTTATAAACAAAATGCAAAGCAAATAAAACCTGTTTTGGGAAGCTAAAATTTTAAACATTTTAATTGAAAATTTAAAAGAATATTTTTTTTATTAGACTAAATTTTTTTAATGGACAGGTGTCCATTAACATATGAACGTCTGTCTAATCTTTAGGGATGACCGTTTATAACCTATGAAAGATCGTCCTTATTTTATCTTTATATTTTTTATTTCATTTACTCATGAACGAACGTCCTTTAAATGGAGACGCCCGTCCTAGGAAATGGTTTTGTTTACATTAAAAATTACTTTCTTATAAAAGAGAAAAGTATGTCGTTTAAAATTATGTAATTTGTTAAAACCACCGATAATTTGATGGGAGGTGTAATAGAATAATCTCAAAAGTATTATATAATATAATATAATATACATTACTTTATTATATAAAAAATTATACATACTTAAAAACAAAAATTGAATGAAATAAAATAAGATAATGAAGTATAATAAGACAAAGGATATGAAAGTCTTTTTATGTTATAAACCCATTGATGTGTGATGTGTCTCACTCTCACGTTGGTTTCCACACATTGGCCGACACTATCCAACAAATCTTTCGTTACAAAACCATTACATCAAAATGGAACTGCTCATTAAACAACACCACATTTATGATGAGTCGGTTACCGAATTGACTGCACCAGGAACATGTGTCTATCTTGGCCCACTGGCCACTGGCCACCTGAAAGGCACGCACCAATAATTAATAACTCAACGCCTTCAGATGAAGGGTCGGGTCGAGAAGATAACTTTAAAAAAATTATTTTAATTAACAAGCGTGATCTCGCCCGTCACACCTACTTTATTATTAAATAAATATTTTTCTCGTAATCTGGCGTAGTAATTACATCATCATCCTCATCATTCATCAACCCGTAGTCCTGTATATAACTTCCCATCAACTTTGTTAGTAAACAAAGCAAAAGGATGGTGAAAGCTGAGCTTGTGTTGATCCCTTCATTGGGCGTCGGCCACGTTGTAACGATGGTGGAGATGGCAAAGCTCCTGGTCCAGCGCGACCACCGCCTCTCCATCACCGTCCTCGTCATGCAGCTCTCCTTCGACACCAAAGTCCCCCTCTACCTTCATTCACTCTCTCTCTCTCCACTCAACCCGAACTTCAAAATCATTCAATTCCCAAAAGTCAATCTTTCCCCTTCGAAATCATCTTCTCGTATAAGCTTAATGGGTTCGTTCATCAAAAGCCATAAACCCCTCGTTAAAGAAGCAGTCACTAAGCTAATTCAGACTGAGTCAGCCTCAGGTAACTCACCTCGACTCGCCGGCTTCGTTCTCGACATGTTCTGTGCGGACATGATTGAAGTTGCGAATGATTTTGGAGTTCCTAGCTATATTTTCTACCCCTCGAGTGCAGCTTTTCTTGGTATGCAGTTACACTTGCAAGTTCTTTGTGATGAGCAAAACCATCCCATCACTGAATTGAAAGACTCGGTCACTGAGTTGATTGTCCCGAGTCTCGTTAAGCCGTTTCCTGTTGAGAATTTGCCTATAGTGTTGACAGAGAAAGAGTGGACTACTGTTATGTTTCAACAAGCGAGGGGGTATAGAGAAGCAAAGGGCATTATTGTAAATACATTCAAAGAGTTGGAATCCTATGCGGTCGAGTCTTTCTCTGATGGTAAGTTGACCAACACCCCACCTGTGTATACACCAGGATCCATTTTGAATTTAGACGGTGATAAGATTGATCGAGGATCAGGTGGGTCCATCTCAATAACAGAGATCAAGGAGTGGCTTGATGATCAACCGCCATCATCGGTTGTGTTTCTTTGCTTCGGAAGCATGGGAAGCTTCGGTGGGGATCAGGTGAAAGAAATCGCTAGTGCGCTTGAACATAGCGAGCATCGGTTTTTGTGGTCCCTACGTCAACCTCCACCAGAGGGTCAAGTTGGTAGCCCTACTGATTATGCAAATCTGACGGATGTGCTACCTGAAGGATTCATTGATCGGACGATTAAGATTGGAAAAGTAATCGGATGGGCCCCACAAATATCAATCCTAGCCCACAAGGCGATCGGAGGGTTCGTATCACACTGTGGGTGGAATTCAGTGTTGGAGAGCGTATGGTTTGGCGTTCCAATTGCGGCGTGGCCAATGTACGCTGAGCAACAGTTCAATGCGTTTGAGATGGTGATGGAGCTAGAATTAGCGGTTGAGATTAAACTGGATTATAAGAAGGATATTTCAAGCGACAGTGCAACAATTGTGAGTGCAAAAGATATAGAGAAAGGAATCAAGAAATTAATGGAGGGTGATAGTAAGGTAAGGAAACGGATGGCGGAGATGAGTGCAAAGAGCAGAAAGGCAGTGATGGAGGGTGGATCTTCCTTCTCTTCGTTGGTTTGCTTCATTGATGATGTGATGGACAACATTGGATCAAAAGAAGCTAAAGAATCTTTACCAAATTGAAGTTAATGTATTTGGAATATTTATTTCACTTTAAAGAGTAATGTATTAGAACTCCAATGATGCTCTAATGGATGTTCACAACAATCAATTAATTCAAAAATTTTGTAATTTTATTGGTTCAATCCTCCTTGACTCTTTAATCTCAACCATGTGTTTCTAATTTTCTTTTACCAGGGTTTAGGATGAAACTTTGTTTAATGAAGTGATTCACTTTTTAAAAGATTAATTTCCATTTATTTGTTCTTCATAGATTATGGTTTTTGCTTATATAGATAATTGAATTATATATTCTTTCATCATTAATATCAAGTATTTTTGATAGTTAGAATATTGACTTAATTTATCTATGCTTGGTCCTCTAAAGAATAATGTGATTCCTTTGATTCTTTGTGTTCTTCTACCAAATCGATGCAATGAATGCTTAGGCACACAACTAATTGAGAGAAGAAAAACCAATATTAGATTTGTTAAATTTGGGCTTAACTGATTTATCCATGAGATGATATTGATTGATTTCGATTTGCCACTTTGATTTTTGGGAAGTTAATTTGTTAATTAGATCATTTGCTAAGTTAGACAATGGTGGATTCTAAAACCTTGGTAGTTTCAATCCTTTGAATTTTCTAAATTAATTTTGTTATTCTTTATTTTCTCTGCGGTTTCATTATTTAAAATTTCATTGAGTGTTAGAATTTGCTAAAATTAGATTAAATTTTCTAGGCTAAGCAGTCCTTGTGGGTTATTACCTTGTTTGGTAATAAAGATTTACTATTCTAGTCATGGAATAAATTTATTCCTAACTAGATTAGGGTTTTAATTTTTGTTGCATATAAAAGGCAACTTAAAATTAAAATAAAAGGGGAGAACACATTAATTAAATACAAGCCACTCACCTCACTCTCTCACGTTTTTCACTTGGTGGAGAAGAGAATTTTTCTTGAAGAAAAATTATGCATCCTTTTTGCTGGTGTGTCTTGCTAGCACTTGAAACCACAAGTCGATCGTCATCCTGTCTTCGTGTGGATACTGAGAGTTCACTCATATTTCAGAGTGGGAGCGATTCATATCGATTGAAGGAGTCTTCAAACGCTGGTATGAAATCTGGAAATTTTATATTCAATATCATTTTATATGTAAATAACGTAAATCGGGTATAAGGTTCTTGGGGATTTTATTTTTGTTTTCCGTTGCGTAAACCCCATCAGCGACTAACAGTGGTATCAGAGCCTTCCTTATACCTTTTACATTGTTATTCGATGTTTGGTTGAATTGATTTCGATATGTATCGACTATGTTATTGCATGACGTGTAAAAATTGATTTTTTGTGTTAAAAATCTGCCGCGGTTGATGTGTTGCTAATTTGTTTTTGTTTTTTGCATCTATTTTTGGGGGATCGAAATCAAATAAAACTTGATTCCAATTAAGGGAGGATGCTGCCTTGTAGGGTGGCGTGTTGTTGTGTGCTGCCGCGCACGGCAGCAACAAGAAGCAACAGCGACAGTGCGCAAACACGTGCTGCTGCTTCACAGATTGTGTGCGACTGTTGCGTGCTGCCACACAAGGAGGAGTGCTGGCCACATGCTCCAGCATGTGGCCTTGGGCTGTGCTGCCGCAAACGGCACAACAACAGCCTTGTGCGACTACACCAAGGCTACTATCGCACGCAGTAATGGCGCATGCGAATGCACCGCTGCTGTCCTCTTGATTGATTGCTGTTTTGGGGCTGTTCCCAGCACTTGGCCTCGGTTGGCAATTGGTTTTTCAGCAAAGGGCCTGATCTGGTGCGCGTTAAAACGTGCACTAAATCTGGATTTTTTGGGCAACCCACGTAAAGATGCAATGAGCTGAATTTTGGGCCGTGATCGCATTGTTGTGTGATATCTTTAATCCATAATTTTTTAAAAAAATGTTGCTGCATGTTAGAAACATGCTGGAGGCCCAATTGACTGAGGCCCAATAATAAGGGACTACAATAAAAAATTTAAAACTTATTGGATTAAATGTAACACTGTCAAAATTCAAGGGGTAGCTCGTACTTTACCAACCTAATCAAAATTATATTTTGATTGTTTATGCATGATTCTTGTTTTTGAGCATGCATGGTGCTTGGTGCATAAGCCCACGAAACTAATTTAATTGTTTTGGGTTATGTAATTTAAAATAGGGCCTATGTGCCTTATCTTTCTCTAAACCTCCAATGTAACTTCTTTCTCTCATCTCACTCCTCTCGAATGTAACTCGAGGTTTATTTTCAATAATGTAAAATGTAATTTTATTTTTGAAAGTTGTGTAATGTTCGAGAAGAAGAAGCGATAGAAGGGAAGGAGGCGAAATTACTTAAAGAATCCATTTCCTTTTAAACCTAGGTTGACCTATCGATTCCTCTTGACTTGAGGAAATCGGTTTTAGTTAAGGCTATGCACCAACACGTTTATTTTATGCTTAGTATGCATGCTAAGGGTGTATGTTATGACTATGACATGCTAAGAAAGAAAAAATTGGTAAGACATAAAATAGAAAACCCCTCAACTAAAGTATATTAAGTCAAAATTGAAATGTCTTCCATCACGATGTCTTTAATCAAACCACTGTTTGTTGGAACCTTGTTCGCCAAAGCGAATGGTACACTTCTACCAATGGGAGGTTAAAGTTCATTGGAGTTTTCCTTAATGGTGATGGATCGACTTAAAATGACGTGTTTTGCTTGTTCGCCAAAGCGAATGTTGATAAACATGTCATAGACATAGTAGAGAAGCACACATGTTATGTGTACGTGGTAGCATGTAATGTCCACTCTACTAATACTAAGAATCACACATGAGGACAATGACTTCGGTCATTGTATTGTGTGATTGACTTGTTGGCTTGCTTCACATTTGAGATTGGTAGTGGGAGTTATCAATTGACATGAATTAAGTTTGTTGGCCTACCTAATCAACCTATTTTGGCTTGTTTGTCAAAGCGAAGGTTTGAAATAGGCTAGATGGGATCTCAATCTACTAGGAAAGCCAACAGGCTTTCCCTTGAGGAAAATAGTGGGAGCTTTTTTTAATAAAAGACTATATCAAAATAAAAATAAATTTTATATTGACTTTACTTATTCTGCACTTGTAGATTCACTTAAAAATTGAGTAATATGATCCCATCATCATTGCAATAAATCATCAAATTGGGAGACAAATGGAATGGTGAGAATTTCATTGATTGTTATAGAAGTATAAACAATATATTTTAGTCAAGCAATAGATTATACACCATTGAGCAGGATTTGTCACCCGAGCCTACTGATAGTTCTATCCGTCGGACTAGGTATGTATCTATGCAGCATACACATGATGCAAAAGCAGAAATGACAAGATACATTGTGCTTGCATCAATGACACCATTAATAAGATAGCAGTGCCAGAATATGGACTTAGCTTATATTCTTTACTTTCTCTAAAGAAATGAGAAGCATATGGTGTCTCGGTCACTGTTCAGATGCAAGATGGAAGAGGGTACCAAAATTGGTGACCATATACTCAAGTTGACTGAGTATATGAACAAGCTTGAGATTTTGGGATGCAGACTTAATGAGGGTTTAGCGATGGACCTAATATTATAGTCATTGCAAGATTCTTACTCTCAATTTGTCTATGACTGCATTAAGGATGATAAGAAGAATACCATTTTCGAGCTTCTGGATATCTTGAAGGCTATTGAGTCAGACATGAAAATGTCAGAAATATTGACATTGGTTGAAGCCAACTCAAGTGAGAAGGAAAAGGCTCAGAAGTCGTTGGAAGGAATTGTTGTAGATAGGAAGGGTGTTTGTCCTCACTGTGGGAATCCCAGCCACTGGAGGAAACATTGCAAGGCTTTCCTAGCAAAAAGAAAGAAAAATGCTGCTTCTTCGTCAAGTACGTTCATGATTGAGATTAACTTCTCCTATCAAAGATGTGGTACTCACATTTGTTCTGATGTGCAAGAACTATGGCAAAGTAGATTGCTCGTCAAGGGAGAGGTGAACTTACTAGTTGGAAATGAAGTATGTGTTGCTGCATTAGCTGTAGGATCTTATTGTCTGATTTTGCCTACGACCTTGTTACTTGGAACTTGTGGATTATTATGTTTTTTCCTTAGTTTCTAGAAATAATATTTCTGTGTCCACTTAGGACAAGTGAGAATATTACTTTACTAATGGATTGTTTTCCTTGAGTATAAATAATATTCTTTGTGGAACTATTCATAATAATATGTTCTTAAATAGACAATAAGGATATTCTCAAAATAACAACTATGCCAAGTATGTCAAGTTGAGTTAAACATACTTGAAGGAATGTGGAACAGTATCAAAACTCACCCCTCTGTATACACCCAACACAATGGAGTGTTTGAAAGGAGGAATAGGATCTTACTTGAAATGACTAGGTCCATGATGAGTTTTAGTGATTTGCCCACATCATTCTGACTTATGCCCTAAAGACTACGACTCACGTACTGAACCGTGTGCCATCAAAGTCTGTAAATAAGACTCCATATAAACTATAGAGTGGGCGAAAACCCAACTTGTCTTATCTAACGATTTGGGGTTGCGAAGCTTATGTCAAGAAATTGACTTCGAACAAGCTGGGCCTAAAATCTAACAAATGTATATTTGTGGGGTATCTTAAGGATACCAAAGGATACTATTTCTACCACTCAGAAAAGCGCAAAATTTTTGTCGCTCGTACTAGTGTCTTCTTAAAAGGAATTTTTCCTAAGAAGTATTAGTAGGGAAAAGTAAAACTCAATGAAGTTCTAGAACCACAAAATGTATTAGACAAAGGACAGGAGGATGAGCCACAGGAAGTGGTTGAACATCGTGAGGAGGTCACTCCACAATTCATGGATCAAAGTGAACCACCTCAAGTAGAATAGGAGTTACGTAGGTCTGGAAGAGTATGTCATGAGCCCAAGAGATATATTTTCTCATGACTCAACATGGCAACGTATTGGTCTACCAAGACAATGAATCCAGGACCTACTAAGACGCTATATCGGATCTGGATTCCATTAAATGACTTGAAGCCATGAAATCTGAGATGGACTCCATGTACCAGAACCAGTTATAGTTTCTAGTTGATCCACCTTAAGGGGTAAAACTCATAGGGTGTAAATGGGCCT